CTAAGAACGGGTATATAAATGAACATCTTACATCACCCAATGCTGTATGCATCAGATGAATGCTTGACCAAATTTAACTTTCGACCGATATATTTTGAAACAATATGAGCTAAGAGGTCACTGATGACACACTTTTTTATATAACCACGAATTTCCCTATAATTTGCATTTACGTAGTTTTTAAATTATAGGTGAATTTCGATAAGCAAAATATATAAAGTTACTAAACATTTTCTTCATTCTTCGCAAACTTTTCAAAGTTATTTGCTAATATACTCTATATATACTTCGCTGTCGAGTATAAGGAAATGTTAGGTAGTCATAACATAAGGTGATTATTAGTCACTACGCAGCTACATTCAACATGCGAAAGACATAAACGGTAATAAAGTGTTGAAGGTACCGACTAGGTATTTTTTATATGTTAGTACTCTATAAATATAAACTCTGCATAAGATAATTAGTATATATGTATATGTCAAAACATATTTAAACTTCACCTGCTGTGTACCAGTGTATCATAATCCTAATTATCCATTAAAACACATAAAGACACAAATCTTTGAAAAAGGTATGGACTGGTATGGACTTTCAATAGACTGATGCTCAAAAATCTGAATTCGGGTAAATTGAAAATGGTTTCAAACTAAAAATTAAACTCTGATTCCGAATCGGACAATAAAACTATCCGTAATAAGCATTAAGGTGGACGAAATAACAAATTTACTCGAACGGTGTGTATTTGGCAGCAGAACCTTCTATCTCTACCTCAAAATCATTTATAAACCAATATGTTTGTTTGTTTATTCATCATATTCTTTCAAGATAACCTCAATCTACGCACTGACCTGGAATGTCTTTTGCGACTTATAATTTCGTATCTGTTCTCACTTCCTTATGCACTTTAAAATAATTTCTTTGGATTATCTTATAATTTTACTGAGTTACTGCAACAACAAACGTTTTATTTCAACATTCCGGCACGGCTTATTTTATATTTACTTAAGACTCGCAACAATTCTTTAATCGCTCGGTTTCTACCTTTTCATATGGTTTCGACCTTGCAACCAAATGGCTTTACATTCTATAACTCAAACCTATAGACAGTGTTTTGATATGTAAGGCCGATGAAAATCTTTTTTTTTTAAAACTCCAAGCAATTGCAGGTTTCTTACTTGGTTAGTCATAATAATTTGTCTATGACATGAAAGGTAAGGTGATCACGAGCAGAGGTAAAATAGATTTAGCATGGTTTACGTTATTTATGCATCAAAACTTGTATACTCCACGCTTGGTATATAGTAAAAAGATATCACCTATAGGGAAGTTGATTAAGACGTACTGGGTTCCTCCGTGTTGTCATCAAATTGTTACAGGCTGATATTTAAATTTACTTTCCGGTCGTTGCTAATACATAAACCGACAACACAGTTGCTGATGCATCATCGGCACTTCGTTGTGCCCGTTTGCCTGCATGGGTGGCTAATAAAAAACGATATGATTGATTGATTGAATTATTCGTGATTATTTTAAGTTACAGTTTTTAATTGTGATAATTTTTATACTTTAAGAAATCGTATAGCACGGATAATATTTTTTTTAGATGCAAAGAAATTTCAAAAGAACGTAACACACGCATTTAATAACAGGTTCGGTGGTATTAACCATGATAACAAGTAACCTATTTTAAAAGATTCAAATCCCGTTTACTAAGACAATTCAGGAAAATGTAAAATGCCATAAAGGTCCTAGATCCTCGGCTCTAGCTCCTTAAAAGCAACACGGCTTTCGCCACCAACCCAAATAATGCATGTCGCTGGAACATATATATATATATATGACTTACCATATTCCTTGTCGACGGTGTTGGTAATCGAGCAGTAGACTGCGTTTGAGTAGAGTTGTAGCTCATTATACGTTCACCGAAAAAAAATATCACTGGGCAACTGTATTTTACTAAATAGCCAATGTGTTTCAGATAATGAAGAAATGTTGTCTTTCAATCGTGGGTTTACATTATTAAAATAGTGTATTTCTCAATCAAAATTATATTATAATTAGAGGAATATATCGATTTGAAGGCGGTATTTTTTTTATAAACAAAGCCAGCTACCCAAACTAGTAAATATCTGACATGTGGGATAGTACGAGTTGGACCCTTTGTACAATGCTATTAGACGTACGGTCATTTACATATAACAGATTGAAGAATTTGGGAAAAGGGAAGGACAAAGAAATATTTTACATGCATACTTGATTATAATTTTATGCCACGATTTAAATCAGATGCTAACCACAAGTGTTTATGTGTTATACGGCTATTCTAAATTTAGCTTTCAATAACGCACCCAGAATAATAGTATCATTGGCACGTTATGAATATTCCCAGGGGCGGATTAAGCCCCTTTGGTGCCCTAAGCACTGAAGACTTTGGTGCCCCCTCATGTGTAATTTAATTATAAAAACAATAAACCACATAAGTGTATTATCCATTAAAGATAATCACAACCAACAGTAAATAGAACAACTTTTACGAACATTTTTAGGTTTTTTAACTGTTATATATAGCCGATATATATATCGGCCGTTTACTGCCGATATTATATATATGCAAACACGCAATATCGGGCCGATATATCGGTTGGGCTAATCCTGAGGGAGTGTGACAATAAAGATTCATGCCTCCAGTCTCAACGTGAATCGAAATACCAAAGGATACAAGTCACAACTGTAGTTTGGAATTTTACCGGTACCTAGTAGTCTACCTCAAAGTGGTTCAAGGTTGCTATGTTGAAGGACCGCAAAAACTTTTGAGGAGCTCTCGCGGGCCGCAAGTCGGAGAAAACCCAAAAGTGATCAAAATATCGCGAGTTTACTTACTTTAAATTTAATAAACAACGAGAGTTCACCGTTCTAATCAGACTATTATCATGTTGCATGGGTGGCGTTCTTTTAAAGAAGATATATAAAGCCTTCAGTTATTTTAAAGTTAATTACCGTTGTATTTTGCGCATCTCGCGTTTAATGTCGCTTCAAATTATATTCTTTCGTGACAGATATTACTCACACTATGTGATGGGCAAGGAAATACATTTCCGCCGTGTTCTCTTATGTCACCTTTCTTGCGACACTCATTTCATTACGAATTGTTATATTGAGTAGTTTAAAAACTTGCAGCGTAAGCAAGCTTAGTGACATCGTCAAATACCAACCAAGTCCGTCTCAGTTGGTATTTCGGGTCCTAACTGAAAAAAAAACTGGATTACGCAGCGTTAAGTCGGCTCTGCGTTTCGTCACTACTGTCACATGGCCGACGCTTGTAAACAGAGGAGTGTTTTTACTAAAATAAAGGCACAAAGCGTTAGAAAAAGGGTTTGAATTTCGGGATCCCAACCCCAGTTGGAATATCTAAAAAAAAACTCAAAAACGTTCCATTAGATACAAATATACGCTAAAATTGTTCTGTGAGCCGCACGGAATGTATCAGCATGACAGAGTTTGGACCACCCTGGTCTACCTTATCAAAAACTCCCGACTTTGCTGACCAATATATCGTTGAAATGCGATCGTGGAACCGCCACATAGTGTAAATGTTCATTGGTTCAATTGTGAAGAGAAAAAATTTTTTAAAAAAAATGCAGCAACAAGGTAATATATAAAGAAAAAAAACAACAACAATTTAAGGAAACGACTCATAGGCCCATTTCGTGTCCAATAAATAAGTTTCAGTGTTTATTTTTAATAAAGAAGGTTAATATGATACTTGAAGACAAAAAATAAGCAAACATTTTGAAGTTTGAGTCGTCTGGTGAACTCGTAATATTTTAATAAACACCGATAAACTATATATAATTCTGCTCTAAAATTTCTGTAGTGCCCCTCTTTGCTTGCTGCCCTAATCACGTGCCTATATTGTTTAATGATTAATCCGGTGCTGCTTTCACCCCATGAGCAGCGAATGTTGAAGGTAAACCAAGCAAGGTAAATATGAAGCATCCTGAAAACTAAACATTCCAAAAACGAATGTAATTCTCAGTATCTACAATGTCTAATCTCCAAAATAGCTAATCAGTTTCAATTACATTATTTTTTATGTTTAAAAATATATATTTCATCAATATAACACGTTCTGCACACCCACCGAAATAAGACTAAGATTAAATATAAAGAATAAAACAGCAATGCATGCACCCAAACAAATGTGCATGTCATACTAAATCTCCATTTTTATGGGTTTCGGAATTCTCAAAATAAAATCTGAGTTAACAGACAGGTGCGCAGCATTACAAAAATACCTACTTTATAAAAAACTCAAAATCGTCAAAAATGACGTACGCAATTCGGTTATTAGCGTGACGATATGCTGTTGATTATCGCGAGATTATAAGTTCGGTTAAAAATCTTAGGTGGTGGCACTTGAAGAGCTCGATATGCATTCATACTAAAAACTCCATTTCTCTGACTATCTGGTCTGTCTGTCTGTTAGACGCACGCGATATCTCACGAAAGTGAGGTTGAATTTGCTCCAAATTTCGCATCTGCATTCATAATATCTCGGACCAGAACCCTATTGATTTTGGATGAATTCGATGTCGTATAATTAGCGAGTTATCAATTAATTAGTGATGTGTCACGCGGTGTCGCTCTTGAGTCAGAGCGGAGGATACACGCTCTAGATCGATAAGTCGGCGGTCTCCAATCGCTATCTCGTTATGTTATTGTTGTTGGTATTTTTCTTCTCATCGTAATGAAAAAAATCGCTTTTCTTATTAACTACTAGACCAATTGCTTTAAAATTTTCAGTGGTCAAAGATTGCGTTTTTCGCTAGAAGGCTATTACTTTTATTTATTTCAAAAATTTTTGTGGTCTAAAAAGGGACTCGTTTATTGTGTGCGATGACGTCATCAAGGTTATAAAAAATGCGCACAGTTCTCTTGTTTTCTATATACGGCAACACGTATCACGACATCTCCAATGTATTAAAAGAGTACGAATGAAACAATTTTAAAGTTAAAAGTTTATTATCAACAAATAGCACCAGATTCTATTTTGGGATGACATGTTCTGATTAATTTGTAAATAAAGTGAAATTGACTTTGATGTTTGAATTTACAGTTGTTATAGTCGGGTGGTCAACATTTATAATCCAGCCGTTATCATTTTGGACACCACGCTCCACAAAACAGACTTCTGTACAGCAAGTACGTCGTTTTCTGATATAGTGAATTGGTGTTACGATTGTTAGTAGTATTGGTTATACAACTGGTTCATAGTAGAATTGTAGGAGTGTGACAGGTTAAAAATGTCATAGCAACGTATACCTTCAAAACTATTCTCAGAAAGAATTCAACCACTGGACCATGGGATTTGGAGATTCATTCTGTTTTTCGCAATTGGCGTAGGTTTTCATTGAATAGCCAAACGATTAAATAAAATTTTGTTAATAAACAATATTTAGATATACTTATATATATCGAAGAAATGAAGATCATCGATAGGGAACAATAAATAAAAGCACACACAATAATAAATCAAATCTACAATAAAAATAGAACAAACCTTACTTAACCAATATTTCATTGGTGACATAAACGCCGGGTTATTTTACAATGTAATACATTTACACGACAGAAAGAGTCGTGTCGGAAGACCATCTCATATAAGTGCAAATCGGCGTATGGTGTTTATTCATTGGGAGACGGCGGCGTGGCTCATGGGGAATAAATAAATTCATCTTTCAGTCTGGGACTCAAGTATTGTCCGTTTGTTACGTTGTGTTACACTTTAAAATATTATATATGTCACTAGGCAATTTTTCTCCTGCTGTTCATTGTTATTTTTGCACTGAGCGCTAGCACCCTAGTTTACGTACCCTAGTGGTACTTACTTTTATATCGAATAAACTTTAATGAAACTGTTTGTTAAATTGCAATGAAATCCGCAAACATTTTAGATTTTGGAACGATTTTGTCATTCTCATGTACAACATCAGAGATATAGGTTTTTAGAAATAGCCTGCCATAAACCGTAAAACAAACTGCAATTAAATAGCGTATACTGATGTCAATTTGCTTTTAATTAACTCATAAAATTGGGCATTTTATGGCATTATGTAGTGAATGTTCCTTGTTGAGCCTGTAACCTTCTGGCTGTTTCCTTGTCGATAACTCCAGCTGCAACTGCATTCTTTAGACTCATTGGTTTGTTAGTATGTGGATTCATAATGATGACCTTACGGCTTCTTGTCGGTCCTTTGCTGATTATCCTAATGTTTGGCGCTTTATCGTTCAAAGGTAACAATCTCATTCCAACATACCTCTTTTTGTCTACAACTGTTCTTCGTAGTAATTCGGCATAAGTTAGGTTCTCGCCTTAAAATTGAAAATTTGTATTTTTTTATTCAGTCTTATGTAACACCAATTTATAGGTCCTACAGTTGATCTCTATTGTTACATTTGTTTGTGAGTGTAGCATTTGAATGAGTGAATGTGAGTGAATGCATTTGATTTAACAAGCGCTAATCATAGAAAATTACTTCCCAATTTTTAATACGCCCCAATTTCATATTTGACATCATTGCTCGCAATCGATCATTTCTTCAAAATGAAATCTCATTGGCACTAGATGTCAGTCGAACAAAAACCTCTGGCGATGTAACTTTCGTCACGTTTCAGTAACTTCATGATATAGAAACATACCTGTATTTGGATCATAGTATCCTTTCTGTTCTGGAGTAGGGTTAGCGAGAGCGTCTGCTAATCTTTGATCCAACATTCCTCGTTTTACTGCAACAGATACCGGAATTCTGTATCCGCCTACCGGATCTATGAGACCACCAGTCGCTATTTGTGCATCCAAGAGTCGCACAGCATGAATTTCAAGAACAAGCCCTTTTTTCATTGCCTCATACAATGAAATAGTAGAATTTTTCTCTGCTGATTTGTAGCCTAATACCGCTAGCTCCGCTTTTCTTAGTGATGATGCAAACTGACTGTCGACAAGACCAACGCTTATTGCACGACTCACAGATAACTGTTTGCCAGTTTTAGGGTCAAGTATGTTTCCCGTGGCTGCTTGTGCCTCAAGCAGTTCAAGAGCAGTACTTTTCCTGAGAAGACCACTCCTTACAGCTTGGCAAATCGAAAGAACCTAGAAGAAAGTAAGAGTTTGCTTGTATAGACTTGAATCACAAAATAACAATGTTTAAAAAATTAGTATTCTACTACACCAGGGGTCGGCAACTTCTCTAGTCGGCGGGCCAAATGTGGGAAAATGAAGTACTCGGCGGGCCGGATGATTACAAAAAATACTTCGGTATCCAATCTTTATTAAATGCTCATGGTGACGCTCTGGAATATTATACTGTCTATCTTGATACATTCTGGTTTAAACGAATATTCATAACCTTTTATTTGGATTAATCAAGAAAAGCATGCAGAGCGGGAAAAGCACGCATGCTGATTTCCAATTCTCTGAATCGTGCGAGATATGACGGAGCGCTTTTGCGATGAATCGGAACCGAAAAAGCAAGAAGTGTGATTACTCAGCGCCAAGACGTCGCCGGGCCATTAATACCGCACTTATCAAACACCAATATGACGGCGGAAGGGAAATTGCCTAATAAATAAACCAACGTAACTTCGACCTAATATTCAAGAAAAGCATGCAAAACGGTAAAAGCACGCATGCTGATTTCCAGGCTTCTGAATCTTGCGAGATTTGACGGAGCGCTTTCGCGATGAACCGACGTCGCCGGGCCATCCCGCGGCGTATCAAACAACAATATGACGGCGGAAGAGAAATTGCGTAATAAACCAACGTAACTTCATCTTTTCGGCTTCGGTAAAGCGATTGGGACGGTAGAAAAACAACAGAATGAAATTTTCCGCGGACCGGCAAAAAAGCCTCGCGGACCGGCAAAAAAGCCTCGCGGACCGGCAAAAAAGCCTCGCGGACCGGCACCGGTCCACGGACCGACGGTTGGGAACCACTGATCTAAAGCATATAGAACTTTTATTGTGTAAATGAGTTCTCAATGAAAAATGCCGTTCCCCAATAGTTTTCTGAGTCAATACCAAAGCAATTTTATTTGTGTTATGTATTTTTTTCGTATTGACGACTGTTTGTTTTTGGTTGACAAAATAATAAATCTGTTTATGTGGATATGGATTATGTTTATGGAATGTTTACAACGCTTTCTGCTTTGACCTTATATTGTTTGTTTAACAAGTGTGCTAACGCGATTGTTTGTTCACTAAGGCAATTGTTTATTTCACCAGCTCGCACTAACAAGGCGTTGAGAGTAGAGCGATCGGCAACTTTCAGGAATGATGCGTCGGACCACATTACAGGGTGTTGTTGGATACGGTCAGCGGGCCGGTCAAAATCTCGTTGCGGCCGGATCCGGCCCGCGGGCCGTATGTTGCCCACCCCTGTACTACACAGTAAAACTGACTGCCGTATACTTAAGCTGCTGCAAAACATAGAAATTTCGAAAAACTTGGGAAATACATTTCTCAACTGAATGTTTTCTTAAACGCACAAGTTCATATTTGAGATTCCATTAAATTCATACATATATATATATATATACTACAAGTCCCCGATAGGCTATTATAAAACAAAAATGGTTCCATGTATATATAATATTTCACCATCAGAGGTTTTTATCAAAAATACAAAATTGTACCGGTACACTTACCTCGTGAGTCGAGCGGTTGTATATTCCAGCAATGGGAAGATCCCCAACCAAATAAGGTTTTAGTTTCTCGTAAAGATCGTCTCTGCTGATGTCACCAGTATTGAAAGAATCCAATGTTCTTTGACTCACAACACCGGCTGCAATGAGATCCTGTAACGTGACTTTCCTGCGAAACGCGCTGCGAAATGTCAGTAGTTCTGGCTGGTACTGAGCAAAGTTTGACGTTGGTTTTTCTTCCAGGTAAAGAAATTTCAACCCAGTATTAAGATCGCGAATACATTTGCTTAGGAGATTACCGTAACTTAATCTTTGTTTCGTATTCGGGTCGAAAAAATCAGCATGCTCCTCTGGATTCTTCAGCACTTTAGCTGTACTTTGGTCAATCAAACCTTTTGCTAAGGCATTAGAAAGCGGGTATCGTATGCCTGTCCACGGATCAATAATGCCACCAGTCGCAACCTGAGCTTCCAAAAGTCGCATGCCTTGAGCTCGGGGAAATATACCTCGTCGCATCGCTTCAAATAGAGGTACGCTTTCGTTTTTTCTCGGATCCAAATAGCCATAGTAAGCGCCTTCACAAGCAGAAAGGGTAGCTTTGTATTTTGCGTCAACCACGCCCTTTTCCACCGCATCGCTAACCGACAACTTTACTGTTGTTCTGGGATTGACGACACTGCCAGTTGCAGCCTGAGCTTCCAGCAACAGCATACCCGTTTTCTCAGGGATGAGACCTTTAGAAATAGCTTTGCTTATTGTCAGCTTTTCCCCTTTTGTAACGTTGATTATTCCTGCCACTACTTCATCTCCGTGATTGGGAACAATTTCATCCACGTCAGATCCACTAGAAGACGATGAATATCGCCGGGTTCTAAAATTATCCATATTCACGACCTGCAGCAAACGGAAAACAAATGCTCAGTTGGAGGAAATAGTACAAACGTAAGGAAAGGATTTGCTTTTCAATGCCTAAAAACGTGGTATTGTTACCAATAATGCTCAAGAATAATGAAAGTGAATAATGTTGCATCATTGATAGCACGGTTGCTCTTTATCATAATGTTTATGATACAAGAAGAACCATAACTGTACCTTGTGTTGTAAAGGATCATAAATAACAGCAATATCGCCATTGACGGTCCCATTGCTCGGCATAGTATCGTATTTCCGTATGACTTTAATTCCTTCTTCATCTGACGAGGAGGAAGAAGAATCGGATGATGATGATGAAGTCGATAATGAAGTCTTTGAAGACTTTCTATCATCTGAAAAGCATATATATATAGATGATTTATACAGATATCAGATACCAAAAACACACTCGTTATTTGGAGGCGTTTCCGACTATTACTGAACTTTGGAAATACTAATTTATCAAATAATCATTAGCAAGTCATTAAATATGGTTATATGCTATTATGTTTAATTATCGTTGGCAAGAATATAAAAAACTTGGGTTGTACTCATGCTCAAATCTGGGTTAGGATGTTACTTCGATAGAAAGTCCGCGTACTCATATGAAGTAAGATTCAACATTCCGCAGACACCCATTTAATGATATATATGTTCTGTCTGTGCATAACTCTATGAATGGCTTTGCAGATGTATGTTTTCACTGAACTATTTATTCGACGGCATGGCGCATCGTGCTGGCGTTTGGAAGACGCTTGCCACCGCACCTGTGATTACTCTGCGTGGGTTCGAATCCGGTGGGGATAATTCTGTGCGAGAGGATTGCTGGACTCCACACCACTATAGGGTGGTTTAATTAAGCGCTTGTCGGATACGGCTTCCTGCACCATCAAGTCTATGACTAGTTATTAGTTCATGTTCGAGTATATGATCAAGCCGTCTCATTGGCCCTCTCACCCCCCGGGATACAAAAGTGAAATCCAATCCTATTCTCTTAGAGACAGTAGACAGACTCTATTTCTTTATTTGGTTGACTGGGTTCGTTGATGATAATTATGCCCCTAGGATAGTTGTGAATATATAAAACATGTATTCTGTATACTTACTTAAATTGTCCAAACGAAGGGAAAGAGTAATCCCATTTTCCAATGAATGCATTGCACTGGATGATGAATCATTAGCTTCTGCTGTGACAAAAATATACATCATTGAATTTCATATTCTTTTCAATTTTAAATAAATTTATATTAATATACATACAAAGACTTCTATATTACCACTCCAACATCTTCGTCAATTAGATAGTGTGACATTGGAAAATAAGATGAAAATTTATGGTTACTTGTAGCCGCGTTGACGGTGACCGACAAAATGATGTTTTTTCATTACCAAGAAATAATGTTACAATATTTCCAATTATAGTTGTATTACTGTATTTTACGAACCAAAATCGACTATGCGGGTTCTAAGGCGCTACGTCTAATGTATGAATCAGGTGCTTTATGCATTATTACATACACTCAAAACTAATACTAGTACCAGTTGCGAATTATAGTCAGATGCGTCTTATTTATGGACAAAACCCCAATGTAGGCATTTTATTGAAGGTGTGCCTTAACTCCCGGTGCGCTCCGTGGTCCAGAAAATACGGTTATATATTATTATTATTATTAGTTGGCTAAACTGAGCTTTGAAACCCACGTAAAACAGCACCGAACCTTTGAATTCATCTAACTGCATCCAATTGAGTTTATAACTCATTGAAGACACACAGTTGTAAAAAGAAACGAAAGAATTCCTATTCTGCATTTAATTTTTCTCCAGTATTATTATTTCTTTATTATAAGGGGTGATTTACGGAGACTTTGCAAGATGAGCTTCTTTAAGAAAAGAATTGTCTTTTTAGTTTCACAAGCCTTTTAAAACGGCTTATAGTTCTAGTCCTGGAATTAAACTCGACACTAGGGAAAAAGGATATAATTGTTGCATGTATTACCTCTTTGTAGAGGTATTATTGCGACAGGTGCTGGTTTATCAGGCGTCGGGATTATTTCATTGTCGCTTTCACTGGAAGAAGACGAACTCGACGAAGAGGATGAATGATTTTCTTTCTGCATCGTTTCTTCTTTCTCGTTATCAGATTCATTTTCCTTTTTCACTTCCATTTCTGTTTCACTTTCCGAGCTGCTACTACTGCTTGACGTGTCAGACGACGTCATGGGACGTTTCTCTATATCACCTACACCCTCATCAGATGAAGGTGCTGCCGATTCCACATTTTTTTCTTTTGTCTAAAATGAAATAACTTTGTTAATTGCTTGTGAGCCGATGTATCTGATTGAAGTTGACTAAAATCACAACTCTGTTAAGTAACGATCAAATGCCTGTCTGAAGAAGTCTGACCCCGGTCAGACGAAACGTCACAGAAATACATTTGTGTTAGTGTGCAGCAAGACTCTTGAATCGTATGGTCTGTTGAGTAAAAACGTTCAAAAGAATGTTGATGAAGAAGCATGTCAAGTCGATAAAAAATAACGATTTCTGTTAGCAATAATGCAGCGACCAACGCAAGCAAGCTTTTAGTTGAGCTTCGTGTTGTCCAATATAGCAACACAGCAAGATTAGTAATATAGTAATTGAACAGTGACTGGATTTGAACCTTAAAACTATTTTTCAGAAACGTTCAAGCGCAAGTTGATGAAGCAAACATGTTAAGCAGAATTACAAGCACTGATTTCTGTTACCAACAATGCAGCGACAAATAGAAGCAAGCAAGCTGTTAGTTGAACTTCAAGCCGCCAAGCAAAGATGGATTAGTGGTTTATCAACTGAACTATAACAGAGTGTTCATTGTCGTGGAAAAACAAATATTGCAAGAGAATAAAGAGTTATAGATTTGGACAGAAGCAGATGCAATCAACTAGTCTAAAATAGCACGTGGGTTAGTCACCCCAAATACGAGATCGACAAACTTCTTTTACGGGATCTGTATTTGGCCCAATGACATCCTGTTCAATTTTATCACAATTGTTCTCTCCATCAGGTGGGACTGTTGAAACCTATTACAGAATAACGTGGTCAATTTCATTCCAAATAGAGAAGATCAGAAATTGATTCACAAAAGGCATACCAGTCCAGATACCACTGGAATCACTTGGGTAGAAGATTTTGAATCATCTGAGTCAGATTCGGAGTCCGACTTCGGTTTGTCTTCCGGTTTTGATTTATGTTCCTACACAGATGCAAAATTTTAAAATACAATTGTATACATGAGGTGAGTTGTGTTATTCATGTAACAGATCTAGTTAATACCGTTTTTTCAGGTTCGGATTCTGATTCCTCGCTGCTGGAAGATTCGAATGTGGAGCTTGAGTCAGAAGTGTCCTTTTAAAATTATTATACTTATGTTTTCAAATACAGCAGTGTCAATTGTAATTTCATTCAAATGTTATGCAACTGAAGTGGGGTTACAAAATGTTTTCAGAATTTAAAACTAGTAAAATTTCTGTCAAAAACACCTCCATGTCGTTAGACATAAGTTACATGAATTATGTTGATCATTGATAGAGTCAAGTGCTTTGATGTATTGACATCGTAGAAATTGATCATTACAAATGCGTTGTGAGTTATAAATTACGAATGGCTCTTGGAAATTTGCAAAATATCATTAGAATTAGGTAGAGTTTGGAATTGAGCAACTGCGTTTAACAATGTGGTGACATTAGGACAGTTCGATGAACTCGGCCTATGTCAATTGCCAGTCGCATTGTAGTGCAGAGAACATCGTTTGAGGGTGTAAATCAGGGGTGGGCAACTTCTCTAGTCGGCGGGCCAGATGTGAAAAAATAAAGCCCTCGGCGGGCCGGATTATTACAAAAAAATACTTTGGTATCCAATCTTTGTTAATTAAATGCTCGACACTCTCTGTCAACTTTACGTTTCTTGGGACATTCCATGGTTAATAAAACTTAATATGAAATCTAATTTCTGAAATCTTTTTGTATTTAGGTTCCAAATATAACTGATAACAGTAGTGGGGAATGTTTACAACGCTCTCTGCTCTGACCTTATATTGTTTGTTTAACAAGTGTGCTAACGCAATTGTTTGTTCACTAAGGCAATTGTTTATTTCACCAGCTCGCACTGACAGTGCGGTGAGAGTAGAGCGATCGGCAACTTTCATGAATGATGCGTCGGGCCACATTACAGAGTGTGGTTGGATACAGTCAGCGGGCCGGTCAAAATCTCGTCGCGGGCCGTATGTTACCCACCCCTGGTGTAAATAATGAAACAAACGATTAATAAAACTAGTTGTTGGCAACAGTATTGTCGCTGCAGGTTGCAAACCCATCCATAAAAAGTTGTTTCAAAGTGAGAAAAGTAATTGGAATAAATAAGTGTGAATAGAAGTATTGGCATTCAGACAGATTGCATACCATTTTGTTCAAGACAGGTTCTGATTTCTTTTCAGAAATTGGTGAAGGCTCCTCCTGCGATAATATTGGATATTGAAATGTGAATAGCAGATAATAGGCTCATTTAAATTTAAGAATATAATAGGATTGAATAAGAAATAATATTCTAATCAGAGATCATATATATATTTTTAGTGAACAAACCTTTTTAACGTCTTCCTTCTTTTCCTCATTTTCATCGACGACTTTGGTTTCCATTGGAATTTCCTCTGAACAAATTTTTAACCATGAACCATTTTTATTTGAATAAACCTACAAAATCTAAATGGTAATTTACTCAAGTAATCGGACTTTGTTACATTTTCACAAACTATTACACTATTCAGGGTGGATTCGAAAGTGCATTTCATAATGAAGATATAAAAACTTTCTACACATCTGATCTCGTCTTGAGGTTTGTTTAACATAATCAAAACATATTATAATATTTCAGATATTGTTTGTTCAATAAAAAATGCCATCAAAAAAATAAAAATTTCATCACGGTTGAGTTCAAAATATCACAAACTCCCGCTTACTCATCACAACAAAATGATATTATTTTTATATTCAAATTTTATTTGAGTTATAACTCCGCCTCACTTTTCTTTTCTGGTGATTCATCTTTATTGAATTTTCCTGCTTCTACAGTGGCCTTGTCTTTCGGTGTTTCGGTAGCTGTTCATTAGAATATCATAAATTAATGGTTAAACAAGACATCGAGAAATTCAATACAACAGGGACATTGAAATTTCCACAATACACTATATATTCTGTTGTTAGTGTCTAATAATCATTCTCAAAAACAGGGAAAGTTAAGACAAATTAGGATGAATAAGTGGCGACTACTTAATGTTGGATTAACCATATATTGTGAATTTTATCAACTGTTCTTATTTTTATATTCTAGGAGCGCGCGTACCACAAGGCTTTGAGAAAATATGCATAAAAATGTCTCAGTCAAGGAAATGAATATAAATTTCTCACAAATGAGTTTGAAAACTTGAACATTTCCACTGAAAATCAATTATACTAGTTTGATAATTATTTTCCATATTCGTGTTATAATGAACGTTGTGGCCTACGGATACTGGCCTAACCTGTAATTGAATCAGATCAGCCTGTAGAAACTGAACAGGTAAATGCCTCCAGCGTAACGTGGAATTGTTTATGCGGTTAAGTAAACGTAATAAAATTTCATCATCGAATACCGGATAAACGGCAAAAATGTACGTCAGTGGTAGCTGACGCTTTGGGGTTAGCTCGGTGGATATATATTGCATTTTGTTTTATAATCTACAATGTTCTTATCTACTTTCGAACAATATAAAGCAAAGGCTGTTTGAGCTCAATTTGTTTTTATTAAAACCTAGCTCTTTGCACTCATTCCTATAGAAAGAAAATATTTTTAAATATACACACCTGCAATTAAACATAATGTAAATTGCTACTTGAAAAAAAGCGGAAATTTTTTATTAACGAAATTGTTTTAATCACTCCAAATCTGTGCTCGAAATATACACGGAAATCACCAAATTAATAAAATTACCTGGAGGTTTTTTTCTTGAAAACAAATAAATCAGAACAACGATGATGATAATAAGTTCGACAGACAATATCACAATTGCAGCAATTATTCCTGGTTCCATATTTGTTATTCACAGACTATACAAAGGTATTGTAGAAATCGATACTCAACTATTTGCCAAGTCGTTTAATATATTGTTATGATATTTGATCTTACTAGATCATTATCTAGAAACAAGTATAAACATATACTACAGTATAATTTTTTAGTTAGACTAGAAGAGTTGGAATATTGATAATAAGGGAAACAAGTTTAGGGTATTTTTGTCAAATTCTTGCTTACACGTGAGTTGAAACGATCTTATTTTTATATATTATAATTTGTTATTCAATGCCCAATGCCGATATAATCTGGCTCTTACATGTAATAGTGCTTTGCAAGTAAGTAACTTCTTTTTTGATTAAATATATTTAAAATATCATGAACCGGCTATTGCAGTCATCAAAAGCATAACACATATCACGGAGAGACTCGTAGTTTTCCTATTTCAAAGAGCAGATTAAATATCTTTCAACAATTGTTTATCTTAGTATTTACAATAGAATACTCCATTTCCCTCAACTGACAAGTTATGAGACAAACTTGAAAGAGGGTAATATCTCAATTATTCTCACGCATCGTGACACCTTGAATGACCTTTGTTTTGATAGATAGTACTTACTATTGCCAATGAACCCATTAAAAATATTTTACGATTCTCATAAAGGAAATTATAAGACGAAACGCACTAACTTTAATTGATCAATTTATGTAAACCATAAACAATCAGTTCAAGTGTAAACAATACTTCGTGGAATTGCGCAGGATATGAGAAAATTGACGTGAGAATATTCCCAAATGTATAAAAATATCATGCCACATTACAATTTCATTATGTTTAAAAAAAATATTCGATAATTCCGTTAATTGAAAAAATTTCCATCGTCTGAATATGTACAGCATATCATTATTTTTTCGTCTAAACAATTTTTAATACCCAATTGCTATAATTGCCCAAAATACTTTTTGTCAACAACAATAGGAGTACGTAGTACGTGTCGTGAACAATTGGGTTCGTACGTGATATGGATCGCAGAAAGGTTGAAAATATGAAGTGTGGTAATACCAATTACCAACAGTGTATTGTCACCCTTGTGCAACTTTTACTTGAACGCACTGGTGAAGAATCATGATGTAATAATTAATAAATTTGGCTTCAGTTAATTTACAAGGCGGAACGCGATTATGTAAGCAATTCATTCATTTACATTTATATTATTCGCATTACATCTTCTCTCTTTATTCCATAATCAATACCTTGATAATAAAATCACACGCTAATTAGTATCCCATTTGTTATTTTTATATTACAATTTGTTTTATCATCTGGTGTCAGATTCTGATTATATATAGCGGTATTCCATAATGTACTTTCTTGAAGAGAAAATCATAGGAGCAGGTAATAGTTCCTAATTGGCATATGGTTGTATAATGATAACATATTGTTTATTGGTTTATAATTATTTATTTTGGATTTACGTATGTTACACACGGACCACCAGTTACGTTTGTCAGCGCAAATATAGCATTGCTTTCAAATGGAGAATTTCTTAGAAACTATGCATTCTTCTCTGATGATCTTACAACGATTCGTATAATATTTTTTGCAACAAGGTTAATATGCCCCCAATGAATTATATTATTAGTGAGTGATATTTTCCTTATTCAAAAAGTCCATTTATTTATATCATGTATTCAATCACCCAGAAGCTGCCTGATTATCTCTCCTAAAACGACATTGCTGTTTTGCCTACACTCAAGTTTGAATAAATAGAAATCACAGAACTTGTAATGAATTAGTACTACGGCTCTGCCAAGTCGTTTGTTACTCTTTCTAAAACGCAATAACAAGTCTCCTACATGTTTTCAGTGTTTCACGCACATCCAAAAACACGGACCGACATTCGCTCAAATGTCGCACACGTACAATTACCAGAAATTCTTCATAATGCCCCAGGGCTTGGATATACACTGCCAAAACGTCGTAACATCAAATGTAATCCGTAAGTAATTCAATACGAAAATTTTGTTTGGATAAAAATCTTTGCCTATCCTGGACGGTTAAATGAATTATGTTTTGAGACGGAATCCAAGCAACACTTCATTCTTGGTAAAGTAAATATTTTTCGATTTATATATTTTGTTAAATGCAAGTTGATTTTGTTATTTTTGCAATGCAATTAGTCCTTCAGGGAAGTTGATGAACGACTTTCTAAAAATTCTGCTCATTCGTGAACATTTTCATTTCTGTATTCATATAAATATTTTTTCATAAACTATAAATTTGATTCAAAAATTTGTCCGCATCAAAAGTGCTAAATATTACCTAATAAGTCAATTATAATGTATAAGAGTGTGAAATTGGAGGCATTTTTATCACCGTATGGGGACGTTACAACGCCATAAAGTCGCACTGCGAATTGCTCTTAGAAGAGTTCAAAAAATTTATTTGTGCTGCCATGCTGAGTTATATATATCTGGTTTGATTATCAGTAATTCTAGTATTGACATAATTTTGACTCCGAATTCACAGTTTGCGTGCTATGTATTCATCAAATCCTCTTTCGGTTCTAAACAGATTTTCAGTTCGCTATCGGACGCGAAGTGGAAAAATTACTCGATTTGCTAAATCGTTACTGTTGCTGCATGTTCTTGTTGGAGTGATTGAATTGTAAAAAAATGATTTAAAACACAATTAAATGGAGAGAATGTGATCGGTTGTGGTAGTTATTTTACTTTGGTGTTCATATTACGGAGAACAAAGCAAATATTAACATAATATAATGTTTCTAAACCAACACTCTGTAGAGTATCAACGTAGCATGTCACTTTTGGGTTTGGTTACAAAATGCATTCATTTTGTTTAACTTACCGTACTACTTTGGCAATAATTATACATATATATATGTTAAAATTTTCGTGAAATGACTGTAGATCATGCTGGCTATATTACCGATGTGACGCATCGGAAATTGTTCAAATATCACATATTATGCGCCACAATTTTAATTAATCGTTCGAAGAAAACGTTTTGCGCAGCGTTAAGGTGTGTCGAATTATTGACGATGGACTGTAATAAAAGTTGAATTTTTAGAAAATTGAAATGAAATTATTAAGCGCGAAGAAGCAGCATCAAGCAAAAACTAATCATGTGTTAAATCTTCGATAAACTGGGAATTAACTTCACTCAATTTTTGACGTTTTTATTTGGTACTTCAGAACACGAAATACTCTGATGAAGACATGTATCGCAAGGTTCGAAATGTTTTCAGAATTATCGTTTTAATATGTGCTCAAAATCACATTAATACCAAAAATATGCTTGAATAATATTATTGCAATGTATTTGTGATCTTTTGAATTAAAAGCATTATTGTTTAAAATTTTCGATAAAATCACGTTCAAGTCTACGGCCCAATTTCTACGTATAATCATAAGATTTTAGCAAATAATCCCGCTGAGGAAACAAAAATTTCAAAGGCTTATGGCACCTCTATGAGAAGTGAATATATTCAAAGTATTCCGAACAAAGCGCCCATAGCAATTTATTTAGCTTGATTATAAGGTTGGTTTCATTCTGCTTCAGTTCGTCAGTTTGACGTCGATCTGACGAGTTCAAACTGATCCGCTATTATTCATCGCAAAATAAAGAGAGTAATAGACGAAAGAGTTTTCTTGTTTCAACCGAAAACAAGAAGTAACTGATTAAAAAAACAAGAATATCGGTCAGAGACCGAAGTCTTATCGATCGAAAGTTAGGGGATCCTCAAAACAGCGCTCTTACTCCATAGTGACACACAGAGAAATAAAAACGTCACATTAAAGTTTTTTTAGAAACTGAACCCTGCTCGAACAAAAATACAAACCCGGAAGTTGAGTTTAATGATAAATAGCTTTTATAATCTCTGACAGCGTATGGAAGTTTTTTTTTATACAAAAGTGATGATTTAAGTCCTATGTTATTCCAAATTTTGGTCAAATGATTGTCATATATATTACAAGCTTAGTGAATTTCGATTTTATGCTTATATGAAATATAAAAACTTACAAAAGAGAAGAGAGTAAATATACACAAACACATTTCATAATATAATAGGTATAGGAGGAACTGAGAGAAGTTTAGCAAGTCTGTAACTTAGTCGCAAAAGGAGATGTTATGTATTGTGCGTATTTGTAAGCATTTCAAAAATAAATAAATGTTCAAACCTTTTGTCAATATGGCAGCCCAATTGCTTCCATTCAAGTGACGATTGGGACATTAGATTCATTAGAATTCCTATCTCAATAAGGTACATCCGTAAGAATATGTCTGATGGGACCCTGAATAAATACTAATTAATTCAAAATGCAGTTTTATATACTTTCTTGTCAAATTTTTTTTTTGTACTTTTATTTGAGTGTGAAAATAATATAATAGAAATTTTAAAACAACAAAAATGAGTTATGTAAGAAAAAGATTCAGACGCACTTCGGAAGAAAATTCTCGATTCGGAGTTTCGTACTTCAAGAGATGATTGCAGATAACAGTTATTAACATTACACTAATACTTATCATGGACCGCCCAGGACGTGCATAAAACTGCTCTAAATTTTATGTGATGACAGGGTAAAATAACACATAAACAAGCAGCATTTTATTAAGTTCTTCTGAGCCCGATAATTATACTTCCATTTCCTCTTGGTATGTTGTTTGTCCGCATATCTGTACATCATCTCTATTGAAATCATAAAAATCGGCTTTCGTTGGCGTCAATTTGAGCCTATTCAAATCCAACTGTTATTTTAAGCAAATAAATATTGTATAATTGTTTTCATCCATACTTTTCACGCTGACTGGACCACAGACAAGGGCGGTAGCTTGATTCGCCGCTACTTAGGCGCTCTATTTAACCTGAAAGTATCATTAAACGCGGTTTTCGAATAATTAAATAATACGAAATAAATCTTATTGCGTGACAATTGAATTACAAAAAAATAAATCAAATGTTAAAACAGCCTATACATCAGAACATTTTCACTTAACGTTTGGTTCATCTTAGCGCGCGGACAATGGCCTTAATGTACTATAGAGCAGTGTTTCCCAACCTATGGTTCGCGACTCAAAACGGGGTCGCCTGCAAATTTACTTGGGTCGCTTATTTTTTCAACAAAAACCTAAAAAGTTACTATTTTATTTTCTATTAAATTTTATTGTTTATTTTATATTTGGTATTGAAGTGTTGCTCAATAGTAATTGTATATGTGCGAAGTATCAATTCGTGAAAACTTGGCAGCATTTATTTTGCTAAGTGATGTCACACGACTATTTAAAAAACGCGTTCCTGAAGTGAATATTTATTTTTCTCAGATAGTCAGTAAATAATAAAAAGCAAATAATTAATAAAAAGGTGGTGGATCGCTCTCCTTGCCACAATATCAACAAGGCAAAATGTGTGACATACCAGAGAAATTTACCGATACTGATTATGAGAACACATTCGACGATGATATAAAACCGAAGCAAACGGAAAATCGAAAGATCTCCTAAAAATGCAAAATCTTTCGCAATCATCCAGCGATTCTGGTATATCGGTTCAAGCAGCTGGACGACCAAGTGGTAATGTTTATTTACGTATGAAATAGAAATGCATTGATAAATATTTTATTTGTGTACATATATATACGTTTTGACACCTTCCCTTCGAACAAAATATATACGGACAACCACGGATATAATAAAGCTACTTTTTGTTGAAGTATCGGAATGTCGGCGGAGTAGCGAATCGCACGCACATTAGGTTTTAGCTCGCAAATTGCTGCCCTATCCGTAAACAATCTTCAAGAGTAGCCCATTTTGTCTATATATCATATATATATTATGATAATGGTGGCCATTTTTGATGGAGCAAATTAGATAACTAAATCTAAAATAAGCACTTACATTTATACATAGTATGAAGAACCTATTCAATGCCGGATGCGCGTGATTAGTAACTTTTCAATTTTCAGAATTTGATTTTTTGTTTGAATGAGGTTTTCGACTTTCAACAGCAATGCTTAACCTACATTATCAAGATTTTCGGGGATGACTAAAATTGAAAATCATGATGTCAAAATTTTAGGGTAAAAAGCTATATTTTACTATAATATGCTTTTCGCAAATATGATTATAAACATACATTATCGCCATTTCTTGTGCCCGACCACAATGAAAGAAATGTTACCTGTGGGCGATGACGCGTGTTTCACCGTAAACCTCATGGCGACTTATTAGTACCTTTCGACGAAAAGAATTATTTAGCCAAATATTTTTGCATGAGTATTTTATCTGCATTCGGAAAAATAATGAAAAAGTTTTTTGAGTGCAATTCAGCCAGATTATTTTTTTTTCGGACAGAAACACTATGGCAGATATAATTTTGCGTTTTAATCAGTAGAATGCTTACCATATTTGCATGCTGTATATGTATATAAATGGATCATTGATATATGACACTGGGAATCACCATATTAAAATAGTTGACAGAGTTTCTCTTCACGATTTTTGGCATTAATTCACGTGATTGTAAAAAGTTTATGGCGTCATTTTACCAATTTTTCGAAAAAGCCGACGTTGTGTCAAATTTCATCCCTGGTGAATCCCTGTTCTACTCGCGCCTTAAATTCGCTGTTGACAAAGCAGAGTGGTTGTTAACGAAATTCAATGAATAGCACGCGATAGCTTGACATCGAAGGGTGGTATTCGAAATTCTAGTTTGTAAAATGACAGTAACTTATTATAAAATATAATACAATATCCACCTACATTATGGATAACTGGAGTGATGCGTGCTTGTATTTCAGTTGCATTTCTCGATGATCATACTGATGAAGGTGAAGCTATAAGTGTTGCAATGAGGGAAGGCGAGTTTAAAAAAACTGCCAGAAGGAAGAGTCAGTGGGGACAGTACTTACTAAATGTTGACATGAAACGAGTAATGTCTTCTGGAACTTTTAAACTGACTTTGCTGCAGGTATGTTTGGATATGAAGACAATTGAATGCGTGGTGATTTTACGTACATAAATGTATATTCGAGAATGCTGAGTATGCTAAAGAATAGTAAAATTGATCCTAAAAGTACAAAAATAGAATTCGTATTCCTGGCACTATTGGGGATTTTTCAAACGTTAGCAAGATTATTCCAAAGAGAAACTTGATGGTAACCATATACGCATCGGGTCATCTTGGAAGAACTATGGTCTTTGCGATGGAATATTTATGGTCAACGAAGATATTACCAATAATACAGAAAACGTGACGTTCTAACCTAAACAACCGCAAACGTATTTTTACTTTACTGCCATCATTTACAGTCAACATTCCATGACGAAGTAATTTATCACACTTCATTTTATGTAATAGTCGTTTTTGCCCCCTGTGCGGCGAAAGCTAGAGTTACTGAAAAATGTACTGGAGTTATATTTTAAAGACAGATGTAAAAAAATTACAATACAAAAATAATGCCTAGCTACTGTCAAAATTGGGCTGAATGTACTGCTCATGGCGACCTATCATTTTTAAGCAAATATATTAGCAATTTCGAGATAAAATATCAGAACAAAATAAGTAGAAAAACAAAAAAAACTGTTTTGATAAAAAATCAAAAAAATATTGAATATATATACAACAATCCGTGATAAAAACGATTCTCAAATCTTTTGATTACTTTTTTCAAATTTCAATATTTGTTCAATTTAAATTTGGAACAACAAAGATGGGAACCGTACCGCTAGTTTTATTAAACAACTTGGTGGTAGTACGCTGAACTCTATTTAAAATAAGCTTTATAATGCAGAATTCTTCAAATAAACTTACAAGCGACCAAATCATGAAAATGGTACGCTAGTTCGGTTTTCCACTGTTTTAACTATACTTCTGTAATAATTCTAGCTCGCCCGAGATGGGGAATCCGACACTTTGGAATTTCTACTGAATACACTTGGTAGAAGTCAGTGCAGTCGTATGCTCAATTCTACAACGGATGAAGAAGGAGTGACGGCATTGCATTTGGCGGCCAAAAACAACCATTATGACGTATGCAAGAAACTGATATCATCTGGCGCAAGTACGAACATGTTATCTTCGCTCATTTTAATTGAAATTATCAGAAATCAAAATTGCTCTTGTATACATCAACTGGAAATGTTTGTAACGTTACTGATGTGACTATAATTGGTTATGCTTGGTACATGCCAGAGATGCAAAAGGCAGTAAAATCAGTCAATTGAATGTTAAATAGGGGGGGAATTGCAATACTAATTTCAGATGGCCTGTTTCTTTGCGCTTTTGTTTATGAAAACGAGGTGCCAAAATTATCCGAATTTTGTAAACTAACGATAATGCATTCTTGTGGTTCACGCATTCCTACGAAGCAACAGCGAGGGACCCTGTACTTACTTTCGCATGACCGCTTGCAAAACTCAATATCGTTGAAACACCAGTTATGTGTTCCATCCTGCAGTCATCTTGATCCTAACCTAATCTAGAAATTGGTGAAGTGAAAAATCACAGTTTGATATTTCCCTGTTATTGAACGGTAATCTTGACGAAACTAATGTAAACCAGGACCAAGATTTCATATAAAAATAAATTTGCAATATAGTAATTTTTTGATATTTCCTAGACTTCCAAAGCATTAGTTGCACATTCTGCTGACAATACAATGTTATTGTGTCATGGAGTGAAAATTTATCAAATTTAATACTATTTTAACATCGAAGTATACCAATAATCTATTGTATTTTGATCGGGGAACCCTTGTAACATTTACTTAGACTAAATTATTCTTTGCACTCGCATACTACAGATGTCAATATCAGAGCGGGAGAAAGCAGAGCGACACCTCTTCATTATGCCGCCAGAATTCGACCAAAAAAGCGTCTCCTTCCATCCATCGACGAAGAAGTTGCTGGAACGCAAATTTATGCCACAATACCACGACAGATGTCGTTTGACAGGGAAACGAGCGTTATTATGTTGCTACACTCTAGTGGTGCAAATATAAATGATGTTGACATTGAAGGTCAAACGCCGCTCCATAGCGCTACAATCAAAGGAAATTTACCCTGTGTACAGCAATTACTGGAATGTCAGGGCGTTGACGTGGAGGTATATTGCCATTTATTTACTCGTTGAGGCTACAGCCGCTACACTGCATCTATTTTATCATTTTTTATCAAATTATTCAATATGTTAAGTAACAGTATTGACTAGTTCTGGCGTGGGGTTTGAACATGGAACTGACTTATGTCACACAGCAGCTTCTAATTTAGCTGTGCTACGGACCATAACATCAAAAATCACGATAATCTCAAAATGCTTTCTTCATCAAATACGATATATTTATTTCAAGTTTTAGGATCTTCAATTTGTGTTTTGTATAGCATTGCATGTATAGCACAATATCAACACGAACCAAGCCTTGAACGAACAACCACTTTTACGCAAGAGACTACTATGCCAAAAAAAAAAAATCTTTCGAATATACTTTTTTTATTTTCATCACCACGTTTGCCCTGCGTCGCTGGTAGATATGGTGTTCAAATCCGTGATCCTCGAGACAGCAATATAGTTATAACCAACGTGCCATTCATCCTACAATTTTTAAACCTGGCTCACAGACCAAAGACGGACAAGGAATGACGGCATTACACATGGCTGCAACTCATGGATATGTCGACATCGTAAAAGCTTTGCTAGGAAAGGGGGCGAACTTGCACAGTACCGACAATGATTTGATGTCGCCTCTGCACTTTGCAAGTGCTGATGGAAATGTAGAATCGGTCAGGGTCATTTTGAATAAAGCAAGAGAAAGTAATCCGAGACAAATCAAGTAAGTCGACGTTTATTTAGTTTAAGAGCTTGTGAAAGTATGACATTTGGACTTACCCGATAAATTCTATGTTCAGAAATTGAAAATCTAACACTCATTATCAACTAATTTCTCTATACTCGAGGTCAAATTTCGTGCAATCTGCTTCTCGTACACGTCTCGTTGATTAATTTATACGCCATTCGAACTGATCTTTTTACCACACTACCTTATTGTTTTACCTGCAAAAGACTTTCAAAAATCCCTCATTTTTAGGGATATGGTTTATCGTGTGGATGCGGGACGGAATACCGCACTTCATATTGCCGTTGGGAAAGGTCACCTACAGGTTGTAATGGAATTGCTTGGATTACTTGCATCGCCCGAAGACAGAAAGAAAATGGTTTCACTGACACGATCTCATGGCGATACACCACTGCATATTGCGTCTGCACAAGGTACTTATCACTCATACATACTTTATCAGTTGAAACGTCCAATGAATCCTAAATCCGTATAATATACTATTTCAAATATTTCTCGAGAAATATTTTAGAATATGGAACATTGTTGCTTAAACATTTTCAATAGACCATGCAAAGCGCGTAGTATTTTATATTGCAGAAAAGTTAAAATAAACATTTCGCTGTTTTATCATGAAACGTTTTTTTAAACTCTTCCTAAAATAACAAAAGTCATTATGTTCCATTTAAACATTTTAATCAGGGCTATACAATATATTACTGTATTTACCTTTTTTTGGGGTCAGGGCACTTTGAAATTTGTGAGAGATTGGTCGAGTGTGGAGCAGATGTAGATTCTCGGAATGATAGTTTGGCAACTCCGTTGTTACTAGCTGCCCATCATAATAATTACGAAATTGCGGACTTTCTTACGAGCAGGTAAAATACTATAAAAAAATCGTAAATATAACAGATATATTCTTTAAGCGGGGTTCCTCTCAGTCATTTGATGATGTGCTCCCACGCCGATTCCTTAGTGATTGCATTTCACCAACGACTTATCATGCACGTAGTATCTGTCATAGCCTTTCTTTTCAAATATCTACCCACCATAACAAGAGTAATTGATATAACTGTACTCGTTGTGATATCGTCGGCAGTATTGACAAATGTTAATGATAAAATAAATTTATGCTATGATGTTATAAAAACATGTCTGCGGAACGCCGGTTAAAATCACTGCTACATAAGAGATGAGGGACACTGTACATTTAATATGTATGAAACAGGGGATCCGACCTCGAGACACGAGACAAAGACAATCTAACACCGTTACTGTTGGCTTGCAAGCAAGGACATTTGGAAACTTTGTCTTGGTTGATTGAACATGGAGCAGACTGCACTGCGACAGACAAACACGATAAAACTTGTCTTATGTTGGCTGTCGAAGACCAACGTACGGCGGCAGTGCACGTGAGAAATCTCTTTATCCACTTTATGTATATAGTCTAATATCCAGATTAACCTCTCACTGTATTCCATAATTAAACTACGAACATTATTACGAAACGCACTGAGGAAAATGGTCAGTTGATTGCCAGATTTTAGTCGTCGGTTCTTTTTGACCATATGTGATCAAATAATAGCGAGTCGTAACATGTAAAATCAAGATACTGCGGAAAAGCAATATAGTTACTGTGTTTTAAATAATATCCAGAATTTACCCGCGCAGCCAATCTATTGTTTCTCTTGCAGGAACTTTTAAAATATGACAGCATTCTGCGACTCATGGACGAAACAGACAAGAATTCGAATGGAGTTCTTCATATTGCTGCGAGAAAAGGATACCTCCCCATAATAAAGGTATTGAGCAAAAGTTTTACGCTCTAACTGGTTATGATCATTGTTGGTTGAGTCAATATTATGACAACTCGTGTTATTTCTTGTGCCCAAACCATAATAGTTGGCCCGTGATACTTACCCTTTGACCTCAGCTGCCTATTCTAATATTGATATTTCCCGGCACTAGGAGTCCTATTTGTTAAATTGTTATGCAGTAATTGCATATAACTGCAATAAAACAGGTCCTTCTTGACCATGGTGCTCGGATTGATTCTAAAAATGAGGACGAAGCAACTGCTTTGCATATTTCTGCCCAATTCGGACAACATATTACATTGAGGGAACTTCTTGATCACGACAAAAACACGATTAATGCCGTTGACGAAAATGCTAACACTGCATTGCATTTGTCTGCAATCGAAGGTATGATGGAGTATACAAGCCGAACATAGAGCCAACATGACAAAATAGGAATGCCGGCAAAATAGAACTATTTTGTGAGGACACTTATAGTGGCTTAACGTTTACTTCAATTATCTTGAGCCATTCTGAATATAGTCGCACCAAGGTGCTCTTCAACCCTGTTACAGCGACCTTATTCAGAAAGTTAAATCTTGGTGTAGGTCATTTGAAGTACAGGCAGAGCCTGAATGGACGGCATTGTATAACATCGCAAAAAATACGCTACCTTGGAAAAAATAAATTTCATACCAAAGTTTCATACAAAATCTTGAGTGGACAAAATTTACTGAATAGGTAAATGATTCGAAATACAAAAAATTTGTTGATTAAAATTAGTTGCTAGTGTTTCTTTACGATTCGCTTACAATAGGAAGGTTGTATAGTCGACACTAATTTGGTTCGCATAATTTCGAAATTGCGAAATTGTTCAAACGATTATTTTTTCAAACTGCGTGATTTTTTTCATATGAATAACTATAGTACAATATGACATTGTTTGCTAATTAACATATATATTAATTCCAATATTAAACAATTACTATTGAACGGTGAATATTATTTAATTATTATCTTACAGGTCATACAAAATGCGTCCAAACTTTAATCGAACATGGCGTGAACGTTGCTCTCCGCAATCAACGCCAGATGACTCCGCTTGACTGCGCAAGTAGCAAAGGATGGGAATCTACAGTTCTTGCACTTCTGCAAGCTCAATCAGCCGTGAACCCAATAAAGGGGTCAAGAGTTAGTAATTTTTCTAATACGGCCAACGTTTCACCAAACGTTTGTTTCTAACATTAAATATCAGTATGAATATACCTATAAGATAAAATTACTAGTATTCTATGAAATCAGTTTGTATTATCACCAGATAAACCTCGAATTCCAGCCGACCAAACATATTGGTATGTGTTCATACGGGGCAAGCCTGAACCTACCTATATTTTATGGTTTAAATATTTACGCTAAATACGCTTAAAATAAAATGACTTATAATAAATTGACGGAGGTATTTTTGTCATTCAGACTCAAAAAATCGAATCCGGATCTAATTTTTTATTTGTCTAGAAAAATGTCAAAATTTTAATATATTATTAACCATTCCTAATCAATGTACAAAATTGACAGACAACGCCGTTACATGAAGCATGTTTTCACGGTCATGTTCAAGTTGTCAAGGTATTACTTGATTGGAGGGCAGATGTCGGAGCAAAGATTGCAGATGGTAGAAATCCTCTAGATTGCGCTATTGATCAAGATCAAGATGATTGTGTCCAAGCTATCCTTGAACATACAAGTTGGAGACAAGCAATGCGCAACAGCTATGTCGATCCGATCACGGGTGAGTTATGCGGAATTTAACATCGCTAATATTTGCGGTACACGGTTCAGAATTTTTGGATCGGTTCGTTGAATTTTTATTGTTGCTGCTGTTAGTCTCATTGGGATTTTTGAGGTTGTTATAAAAAACTGCTTAAACTACTACACCAATCAATTTTAAATATTCAGACGATGGAAGATTTCGTTAAAAGGCAAATTAGCTTTGTTTTATTTTTTGAGGCCAAATGATCTCGATATTTTACCCAAACCTTTGTTGTTCATTTTAATCCACAGGAACGTTGTTTTGTGTACATATAGTTGAACATGGCTAGCTCTCTTGTACTTGCACATTATTGAGAATCCAATGCAAATATTCAACCTGCTGTAAAATTCATAACCAAAGTCAAATATGATAGAGTTCGAGTTAGACTTGTGGCTCCCGAGGCCGACAGCCGTGGACCACCCTGGTATAGAATATAGACGGTTAGATGGGGGTTTAATACAGTTTCATAAATGACATCGGTGGCTAAATTTGATCGGCTCGTTGGCTTAAATTTGAAAGCGATGCTGTTACGTTTAGAGATAATAAAAAAAACACAATTATTTTCAGGGCACATCGTGACACCCGCACGCAAGCTGATAGTAAAAATGCCAGAGATGGCCCAGTTTGCCTTTACTCAATGCATTTCTGATAACAGGAAGAAATGGGACAGTCATGATCTTGAGGTATGCTTCGCTGTCATCAACAATCTTTGCGTATAAAATTGTAATGAATTGGTAATATTCGAAATAATATACAAACGTCTAAATTTTACATAGGTCACCTTGGACTTCGAATTTCTTGATGATATGTACACAGTAACAGAATGGCTTCACAGAGGACGAGATGTAACGACAGATAATACCAGTAGTGGTGACAGAGAAAAGCAGATTCTAGCGAATGGAGACATTCCTCCAGTGGAATACAAGGGGAAACATAAATCAAAGGAAGCCCGTTTTAATGCAAAGCACTCACACTTGGCTATTCCAGAGGATCCAAACAACTACGAGGCTTTCAATGACCAAGGGAAATTAAACGGAAATGCAATGACATACACAGAAGACGCGAATATCCTCAGACACAACCATCCTCTCATGATTATGGTACGTGAATAAATTTGAGAAGGCGGAAAAGTATTTCGTCTTCTCTCTCTGACATTCCTTTTTTCTTTCATTGACATAATAATACAAATTATGTAAATCTGTCATTGTAAAGATTGCTTCCTCTATCTTGAGTTATTAGATTTAAATCTGCAGTTGGAGTAGTAATTTCAAACTCTCCGGTAGTCTTAGACTAACTCTAAATTTTACACTCGTAGGCTTTTTGTGATACGACATCCGGTACCAAAGTCGCAGGTAAAAAAGTTCTCGGGGTAGATCATGGAGTCGGTTTATTGACTGTCTCCACATCGGCGTTGAGTCGATTTTTTCTGTCTCGAACTACATGCTTGTAAAGTCATTATTACTCGCCGGAATAGAAATGTAAACTCTGTGATCATTCTTTATAGGTATCTACAAAACGAGAAGGTCTTCTTCAGCATCCCGTTGTAACAGCACTTCTGCAATACAAATGGAACAAATATGGCGGATTTGTTTACTATTCTTCTCTGATATTCCTCATGGTATTTGTTGTTCTACTAAATTGCTACATGCTTCTTATTCCACCACCATATACAGTTGACTTCCTCAAATCTCTTGCAAACCGAAGATTTTTCTTAGAATTTGAATCGGAACATCTTACGAACTACACTGGTATGTAAAAATTATCTCGTAGTATATTATAGTTTGAAAACAATCGTTAACGATGTATAGCACGACATACAGGCACATGTATACACGAATATGAATCTGTTATTATCCATGATTTGTTGAGATTTCTTTTTTCTGACTAATCGAACTAGTCGCTCTCTGATTTGCAGTAGTTAATGACACAACTGTCTTCAATTTTTCATTCGTGAGCAAAACTGTGAAACAGTATGATTTTTTGACTTTCATATAAATTATTTTGTATGATATATATTGCGTTTATTTTTAAATTACTACAATTGAGTTCAGGCAAACTTTTGATCTAATTAAAGTTATCTATCAAGCGAGAAACAATTTGGAGTTAGTACATGATTTCCCTTTTTTATTAACATACCCACTGACATCTTGTAATTTAATTGTGACTAATAATAAACGGCTGTAAAAACAAACAGGAAGTGGTGCAATACCGAAAAATTGAAAATCAACTAAATAGGTATAGATGTGTCAAAGAAATTTATTACCAAACCCCTTTATGATGAAAACGACGCGTTAAAAGCTTTGAAGGTGTGGCCAATTTCCTCTGTTACGTAACTATCTAAAGGCAAATTTAATAATTGTAACTCATTAGGATTAAATGCCTCAGTACCAAACAATAAGGGCGGTTACATTATAGCGATATCTATTCAATTACCTACACTAAATATAAATATAATCATTTATGGCACTTTATTATTGTTAAATTCAGTTAGCCTTCTCACGCGAACGGGCACTTGTAAATATTATGCTCATTCACGATTGCATAGCTATTATTAACAAGTTACTACAAAAAAAAACGCTGAAATTTTAAATTCAAAGTTTGTCGACAAACATTAGCACAAGTAGTGAATTTTTTATGCTCGGTTTTGTATAGGTATTTGTAAGTTTTCGGTGATATTTTAAAACGAATTTTTTTCAGTAAGAAATAATGCTTCATAATGAATAAATCAGGACGAACAAATCAATATTTGCCTTTATTATTCGAAACATTTGGATCAATAGAAATAATTTATTTTGAATTTTCACAATCTAATTATATAAACAAAAATCATGAACAAAATAACAAAATGAATTTAGAATTCATTTGTACGACCTCGCCACGGGCAATCATTCGCCCGATCGTCGACCAGGCCTTCAGCTAAGCAATATACTATGGAAGTGGCGCTTTGTATGCTTTGTTTTGCAAAAAAAAATGAACGAATTGCTACACTAACTCTCATGCTTTTTTAAGCCATTTCTATATCAACTTTACCTGCATCAATGTCCATGGAACTAACTTCAGAATCAGTTTTTCCTACTACTGGCGGATATTCATCACTGCTGTCACAGATATTTACATATATATTTTTCTTCGGAAGTATCTTTTCTATCATCGGAGTTAAATGCAGAATAACACTTTTTATCCAATCTAAATCTTTTACCTGCCAACTTCAAACGTCTGACATTACTTATACTGTTGGGACAAAAATAGCCCGCGTGTAGTGTTATTGATATATATATATATGTCCCACAACTAGAAAATCCAACTAAAAGTACTGTAGAACGTAATCTTAGTATAACAAATAAATATTACCACTAAACTCTTACGACAAACTCAAGACGAGTATGGGAGGATTGGACCAACTTACAAAGTCTGGACTGATTTACAAATCGTTGCTATAGCAAGGATCGCAGTCAGCAGTTACGACAAACTCAAGACGAGTATGGGAGGATTGGACCAACTTACAAAGTCTGGACTGATTTACAAATCGTTGCTATAGCAAGGATCGCAGTCAGCAGGTTTCCTCCAACGTTAATGAAGTATTCAAATGAGTCGTATCTGTCGGAACGTAGATTTTATTTATTTCTATCTTCAAGATAATAGTCTGAGAAAATGAATGATAATTTGATAATTGATGTTAATGAATACATGTTTCTTTTTATTAGTACTAGCACATCATTCAAATTGAAACATTTGTTTCTTAGTACTCTCGTTCATTTAATATTTTGTTCGAGTAATAATCATCGTTAAAGATACCATCAATTCTCTTATAATTAGGATACTTGCAGTGAATAAATCAGCGTCGTTCCCAGACAAATTATGTGCTTTTGATTGATATACGGTTATCATTCAAAGCAACGGTTCCTAAATCTTTTGTTTGCGCGGCGCCAAATTATCAGGGGAAAAAACTCACGGCACACTTGACGAAAAAAATTGATGCTTTTGAATAAAACTCAATTTTGTGATCGTTAATGTGTACTTTATACCTTCTTAGAGTTTGTAGACATGTGCTCCTAAAAAGGCAAAATGTCAACTCTTTTTCCTCATATCTGCCTGATTTTCCTTTGAAATATTAAAAAAATCACTCATGTTCGCTGAATTCGGTCCAGAAAATAAATAAACTTCAGTTAACGAAATTGTTCCGACTAGTGACTACTCACTCTATTTTTAAGTAACAGTTGGAGAAAATGAGGGAATGGGTAGAAATGAAATTACAAAGTGGCCCTAAAACGGAACCCAGGTCAATTGGAACATATTATAAAGAGAACATAACTTTTGTGCAAAGCGTCTTAGATTACTTTTGGGTACAATGCTATAGGCCTAGAACAGAAGTTCAAGTTGGGTACAAATTCTTTTTGCCACTCAATAAATATCCCGCGGTTTAGTGACGAATAATTGAAAAGTGAATCAAATATTTCAGTTATTGTCTGTGTGTTTTCAATTGTCTTTTATAAATATTTATTTAATATTTTGCAATAGATCCCGATACGTGTTACAGCCAACTGGATAGTGGTACAACATACAGAGGATTTGTGAACATGAGTCGGTCAAACAAATCATGCATTCCGTGGTCAACAACTAGTACGGACAAAAATCTTTATCCAAATTCGGGTTTGATAGAAAATTATTGTAGGAATCCAGGATCGTTGCTGGAATCCCCTTGGTGCTTTACAGAATATGACGACGAACACCCTGAAGATACAGTACGGGAGGAATGTGACATCGAACTGTGCACAAGTATGTTGTCGATGTTTGTACTTGGAATTTGCATGTAAGAATGGATGTTTTCCCGGGCGCTGACTTCCGTATTGTTGGGTAATCAGGAAGATGGTGGTATTACATGCGGAAACACGCTTAAAATTAGCATTTACCAATTTTGCAATATTAAAGAAAAAGTTTTTCTGTTGTCAAGGATTGGGGAAACATTCATTGAGCTGCCCTAACTACGTGATATTAAGCTTGACCGGCCGTTGTGACCAAAAACCGACTGCTACCTATTATCGTGCACGAAGTGGGCCTATAGATCGTTTTTTTTTAATTAATGTTGGGATTGAGATTGGGAAAATCGTTTTCCAGTTGTGTGGCAGACTTCATTTGACATTCTACAAGGATTTATTATGGCATTCGGTACAATTCTTTTAATAATTTAAATTATCAGTAATTAAATTCAAATATAAGAACCGGTTGAAATATTTCCGACATTACGTTTGCATTTACCACCGCTCTGTTGTTTAAATTATTAAAATCGTCGTCTGTAAGTTAATGTTCTGTTTCAGTTTATATAGACAACGACGATCTACCAAAAGGAACAACATGCCATTTCCCTTTTATTCTCGGTGGTGCTGAACAATACAAATGTATTAATCATGCGGATGGTTCATGGTGTAGTGCGACTGCAAATTATGATGAAGACGGAAAATGGGGATTCTGCACTGAAGGTATGTTTTGTTTTTGTTTCTCCCAAAAATCGCTTTTACCTATACTCATTTGAAGACAACTTTGACGTTTTTTTTATTTAGTGGATCCATACTGTGTAATTCCATCTGAGTTGAAAAAACCATGTGGAGATCCGACTACAAATCAATTGAATTGTGAGGCTCGAGGTTGTTGCTATAAAATCTACGATAAAGGTCTACTGACAGAATACAGCGAATGTTTCCAAAAGTTCGACAAATGTAGCGATTGGAGTTCTTATTGTCCTTCTGACGCTAACGTCGTAGGCTGCGAAGTAGACTGGATGATGGCAACATGTCCATTGACATGTGGGATTTGCAACGGTAAGTATTCTGAAATAATAGAAGCTTTGAAAATCTTATTCATTCTTTACTTTTACTAAATTTCATGGAGCGATTCAATTTTTATATAAATAGTGAAATTATGGTCCATCTAACAGGAAAAAACCATTATTTTTTTTTGCACGGGACTCAATTTGGATAAATAAGTTAAAATTTGTTTTCCCATTTCATTACGATCCTCAGAATTAAAAGAAACTCTATTTACATTACATGTACGTAACAAGCATGACGATCACCTACTGGGTAATAAATTGAAAAACTTTTTAAATTGTATATATAATATAAAATAAACATCTTTTATATATAATTTAGTCTCAGAAAAGGTTGAAGATTCCAGTCAGAAAAAATTTCTTTATTTGATGTCAACCTACCCTGAAAATACATATGAACATAACTGGAGAGAAGGTTGTTATTACTGCCTGGAAGGTGCTGAAAAGAAATGGGGAACGGATTGTCGTCATAAGGGTGCTTGGGAAGATCCCGTCAAGATTGTTCTAATGATTTTTTGTGTCTTCAATCTACTTAGACTGGTAAGTATTTCCTATACACTCACATATTGAGGAATGCATAAATGATATTCTCTCAATGAGACCAACAGTTTTATGATGAATTATAACAGAACGTTACTGCGGTTTGTGAGATACTTTACTATTGAACAAGGCTAGAGTCAGATTAGAAATTTTGAACATTATGGAGTCGAAGACAGAGGTTCAGACTTCTGAAATCTGAAGTCAGAGTAAACCTGAGAATCAAACATGCTTACAATAGATTTTGTTATGACGGAATCGGCATAGAGTTAAAACAATTTTTTTTTACTTGGAATTTGAATCCGGATCCAGAGTCAAATATCTTCAACTCAAAGCCGGACCCGGAGTCTGTTTCGTTTTGATGTCTTAAGAGTCGGGAGAAGAATAGTACTTTTTTACGACTTCGAGCGCTGAGTGAAGTTCTTAGAGGGTTAATTTGGAATTCCTTTTCACAATCAGGGAAGGGGTCAGATCAATGAAAATCCATGAGCACTAAATCATCTGAAAACCATGAATTGACCAATTTGTCTGCTATAGGCGGAGTTAATAATGACAATCCTCAAACACAAAAACGATACAACACTTTTCAAGCTATTTTGTATTGATATATAAACATGAATGAAGAGGTCCAAAATAGGCAAAGAAAAATATATATTGCGAAAAATTGGGAACCACTGGTCTAACGTAACTTCAGATGAACAAGAATTATTCATTTTGAACGTTTTTTCGGCACACTCAATACATATTTAAATATTTAAAATAAATCACATTTTTTAGATTCTCCAAATATGGAACTATAAACTTGAAGCATTCAGACCAATTTTCTTTCTTGAACTTCTTTTATATATTCTCTGTTTGGTTCTTGTAATTGACTTCAGTGGATTTGACTTGGAATATACTCGTCAAATGAATACAGAAAAAGAAATATATGATGAACTTGTCAATAAATTTCAAAAAGAGACTGGATTGAGAAAAGTAAGTTTTGCTCACAAAATTGATTTATTTGGAAAACTTAGGGAATTTTATTTATTTTCTCGTTGCTGTAAAATTCATCCTGTCTATAACAATTTTGTATTTCTTTTCTGTTAAAGTTTGTCACTAAAAAGTACCGTTCCTGAAAAGTCTGAGGATTGACACAATTCTGTAGCAAGATAATTTACTAAGTCAAAGAAATGCTTCACACTGGTTTGAGAACGTATTAAAACTGTTCATTCAGTGTTTTGTTCGTATTGAGAATTGACCTGTATGGCGACCACAGTATATAAAAACTCTCTCAATCCAAATTTATTAAACATCTAGTATTTTTGTGTGACGAGATTTATTATAAATTTATCTGAATTCTATTTAGAACTGGCAATGGCAATGTGGAGTAATGGCTTTGTTTTTATCGTGGATGAATTTGCTTCTTTATATTCAAAAGATTCCCTATCTTGGCATCTACGTTGTTATGTTTAACGACATATTCAAAACATTCACCAAGTTTTTCATCGTTTTCCTGCTCTTCATTTTCTCATTCGCATTCACATTTCATGCTTTGCTACAAAACGAGGTAATTTTTAACAGTTGTAAAAATGTGGCAAATTATCTGGCAGTTTTTAGTAAATCGAACGTATCGAATAGACAAAAAATATCTAAATTTGACGGCGGTTCAGAAGTGTGTGTACCAATAACTAATTTTGTTCGCCTACTTTACATAAGTTTTGTAAAAGGACAGAAACCTATGGACAGGGGGTATATTCACTTGGCTAACACAGATAGTCCCCGAACTTGTTATAGAACAAAAATAAGGAAAATCGGAATAAAATTATGGCCTACCACTAACCTGGTACACAAACTACGGGGGTACCAATTTGACCCAACCATACTAGGTAAAAGACTATGATATGATATGATATTTAAACTATGATATGAAATATTTTAGCAAATGTTTAATAAATCTTATGAAAAATACGAATGTCATCTTCATTAACGTAACACTCGTTTTAAGCGAGTTAAGAAACGTATATATATATATTTAATAATTAAGTAATTTATTCAACATGTCATGTATTTTTCAGATCGAATTCCAGTTTCCATTTCAATCTATCCTGAAAGCCACAGTGATGATGGTCGGTGAATTAGATTTTACTGGAATATTTTTGGGTGGTTCAGAAGATTATGAGGAGAAAGTCAATTATCTGATTTTGACGTACATTCTGTTTTCAATCTTCATTGTTGTAATGATGATCATCATTATGAATTTATTGGTAAGACGAATTTTTGACGAAATCTAACAAGTTGAAATTAAATTTTGTTGATTTTCATGCTTTTTGTCACGTCTTCTTGTTTGCATTTTCCCCGTATCAATTGAATCCGACTATGCTTCGAAGAAGATTTGCTCAAAGCAAATCACGCGAACTCACTCAGAACTGAAATTACAAGAACAACTGAAACTGTAAACTCTTCATGGTGGCGCATTAAGCGCCAGCAATTGTCGATTGATAATGGACGTAAAGTTGATCAATTCAATACGATCATGAAAACAGCTACCGTGTACTTCCAAATAACTGAACTATAACTTTGGCATAAAACAGTATTTGTCCATAAGAAGATACACTGGAAGTAAAGGGGTGAAAATGTTTTTTTTGAAAGGCAACTTTTGTAATAACATGAAAACAGCGAATGTAGAAATAGGAATTTTGTCACATCTGAATATGAAAATACTTGCTATTTATGAAATATGACAGGTCGGTTTGGCAGTCGGAGATATCATGGAAGTAAAAGAACATGCGACATTGGAAAGACTTAAAATGCAAGTTGAATTAGCGCTTGAAGTAGAATTTGCAGTGCCTGATATTATCAGAAAACGATTCGTTAGAAAATCGGCCAACATCAAACCGAATCGTTACCGTGCAAGCAACGCTTTGACCAGAGCTATTTTCCAGGATAAAAATCTATCAACAAAAAATTTGGCAAATGTTATGATGACAGGAAAGGTAATTTTGTTCATTTATATATTTTTATAGGCATATACTTGTGTGTTTAGAATTTTTTGGGAGCAATATCATTCAGATAATCCTAATATTCGTGGTATGTTATGTTATAAATTTAGGTTTGATTTTTCTTTATTTGTGTAACGCTCATGTGTGCGGAACAGCAGTTTATTAGATAATTTGCCCAAAGCAACGTTCATTCATTTATAAATAAAAGAGGCTTGTTTTTGAGAAAAGATATGGGCGATGACTGAAACAATAAAAGCTATCGATCTGTATGGATTTGTGGTTAGTCTAGTGCAATACGCGCCACCAAGTGCCAATATGTATAAAAATAAGTTCAGGAATTTGTCTCCAATTATAAAATGTTATAGCATTATATTTGTAGCAAAAATTTTCCCATCGATTATTATGGTAGTATTGATAAATATAAACTTTTATTATATTATTCCAGTCGGAAAATGAAGAAATGCAAGAATCCATGCAACAGTTGATTTCCCTTGTTAGAGATTTGAAGGTGAAAACGACCGATCACGATGCAATACTGAAAGATTTATTGGCTGAAACAAAAGAAATGAAGAGTACAGTGGATGAAAATGTTGACGTTCAGCAACAGAAAATGATGTTGGATGATGAAGCTAAGATTGCAACACCATCACTTTCAAGGAAAAAGAGTTCTAGTTCCTTGGATTCCGTCAAGCTTCCTGTATCAATTCCAGCGTTCATGAGGTCTTCAAGCTTCAGGAGAGATAATCGTTCATCAGGTTCATTTTTTCTTTTATTGAAAATATTCTTGAAATTAGTGCCGAAGCGATTGATGGTTGACTTCACAAATTAAAGTCCAATCGAATCCACATGCGCACCGTTTCACCCATGCGGTTGTTTCTTCGGCCAACCAAAATACCAGAACTATCCGTACACACGAGAACTCTATTATGATTAGGTTACGTCCTCGTTATAAGTCCAATAATTGCGATGTAATTGGACTATGCGTGTGTTGAGCTTTCCGAATATAGGCCACCACATATGGTGTTCTACCGGTAGTGATTCTATTCTTATTTGAGACAAATTGTTCCTATTTAGAATTTCATCTATATATATATTATAAATGAATACCTGAACTTTTTTGGTAAATGGATAACCTTGTTTCACAGGTCGTAGGTTGAGATCTTCTTTAAAACAACCGAGCTTCCGATCGAATGTTTCGATCAACAAAAGGCAAAACAAGAGTGAATCACAAGAGGCTGAGCCGCTCATTCGTTCATTATCGCCGCAGTATGACGAAATGGACGACGATTCACATAGAAACCTTCTCAGAAATGATACGGTTGACGAACCAACGTACAACCATCCAGAGTCTCCCGTCCCTCCGGCCATCACTCTAACGGAGTTCTATGATAACCAGGAATTTGATGCGTAATTCACGAAGAGAATCCAGCATGATATATTTCGTGTAAAAATTAAGTCCGGAATCGAAACCATACGAGAACGGAAGACGTATCTGTACAATCCCAACAAAAATATGTTTCGTCTTGGTACTGTACAGTTACAACACAATAAGTACCATTGCGCGTTTCCCCTTTCAAAATTTTGCTGTCTGCTTCCAGATGAGTCAAAAAGAACCAAGCCTCATACACCTAGATATACAAGCACTTCTTTATCTGTCGCCAACAACGCAAGGATGTAACTGTAGTTTGTGTAACACTTCTTCATCTGCGTGTATATATTACCGGTACCTTATCTTTGTAGCTATTATCACACCAGTACTTAAGGTATGACAAGAACTTTGTAATTGATTAGAATGACGAACATTACTTTTAAACTTTTTTTGCAAGGATAGAATTGTAGTGATATTGAGGGTATCTCTAATACATCGAACATAAAGTAATTGGGCGAAGTTGTGTTCCATTTCATTTTTTATTAGTCAATCTCACAAAGATCCTCACACTTTCTCATCACGCTTTTCACGAAAAAAAACTTGAAACCACGGACATTATTTTAACGCAGCAGCACGTGATCTTTACAAGCATTTGCGCTTGCAAATATTCAAATGATTTGACGAATTCAACGTGATAAACATTTTCACCGTTTTTTTAGCATTGTCCAAACACCATTAATTGATAATTTTATGAATTCAATATAGTATATAACTATATATTGATAACGTACCAATTGATATGAACTCTTATCGTATTTCCTGTCAATAAGACGAGGCCAATTTTTAACACTGAAAATGTTTTCCTCACATTACCGCCCAATAAGTCGTGGCAAAATTGTGTTACCCCATTTCTGTGTTTGTCAGTTAAGCACCAATGCGATTGTTATTTTTATCGAGTTTATTTTACTATTTTGTCATCAGTCTGTTAGAAACAGAGATTTATTTCGGTTGAATCATACAGCCATGAAATTAACTATTCTACCCAACAAAGCCATGATTTAGGGCTACAAATTCAACAGCAATCATTAATGAATCACTTAATGAACTGGAGCGTTGCAATAACCTGTAAATATGTAGTGGTGCATATGGCACTGTACTTCATAGGTTAACTGATGCGTTCTGTCGGAAATTTTCGGCCTATATTGCAAGATTCTCTAAATAACAGTTTAGCATTTCCTTGCACATTTGTTAACCGATTTATATTGCGGCCTCTACTCATTTTGGTAACAGGAAATTTACAACTTGTTCCACAACTCTTCGATTCCCACATTTCTACATTCATGCAGGATCAATCACCAAAACAATTATAACGCAACTGTTTATTTGGTAAAATAAATTGAAAATGTACAGAAATTTGAATCATATTGCATACCAATATTAGCAGAAGACAATTGCTAGAACACTCAATCCCTGGCTAAGAGATGCATAATCTTATTTAAGAAGCAGCATGCAACAGAGATGACCTGTGACACCGAGGTCCTTAACGAAAGCAAAGGTGTTGAAAAATATATATTATCGTTGTTGGATACAGCAAAAGAAATTTGCACATTCAGTATTAAATTTTTTTGAACTTTATCAAATTCCTGAATTGGTAGTTGAATTATTATCAAAATTGAAAAAAAAATTAGCGCAAAGCCTGAAAATTTGTTACCCAGCATATTTTAGTACTTGGTATAGGGACCTCGCTCAGTCAATGCCTATATTATAAATTTTAAAAAATGAAATAAAATTGTTGCTTGTGGCACAGCAATTTCTTTAACCCCGTGCTTCAACTGGCACTGCAGTCGTATAAGGAGCGGCCGCTATCTTTATGCGGAACGATGATGATGTAGCCAATTAACTATAACAACTGAAATCGTCAAACGGTGTGGCGAGATTTGATAACGATTACTAATTTTAAGCAATGCTGCTTTATTGATAAATCTTGAAAACGAGAGAAGTGGGCAGCTGATGCAATCTCGTATTTTGTGGACATTTTTTGGCAGAATACCTACAATTACTATAACAGTAAATAATTCTGTATCAAATAGTTAAAACAACTTTACAAACTTAACACAGAAAAATTAATGTACAAAAACAGTGATAACAGCATTTTCAAGCTAAAACCGACAAGATTGGATTATATCAGGCAGAGGAAGCCTCTTCTTGCTTTGCGCGCCTCTTTCACTCGAAAAAATGTACGAAGTCTCATCTTTCTGAATGATTGATAAATTTTTTGCGGCAATGACATAATCGATGAAAACTTTACCGCCTGCGCTTGCTTGTACTAGCTGGTTCTCCAAAAGGATTTTCGTCCTATTGAACATAATAAAAAAATCATACCAAGGTTGGTAAATCATTCTCCTTGTGCATTGTTTAACTCACCGTCCTGCATTGTGTGCACTGAAATGCTTTGGAAATGAGTGGTTAACTACTCCCATATCTAACATTGACTATTAACAGGACGCACAAGGCCATGGTTCACCATATAAGCAGTCATATCGCTTTCCTCTCCCAGTCATTAATATTAAAATCGATCCTCTTTAGTTAGAGGTTAGGTGTCAGAAAAAAGTGCCATTGGGTTCAAGCCATTGAATGAACTGACTTTGGCCACCGCCAATGGAAATTCCAACACTTAAAAATTACGACTTCGATGAAGTTGAAAAAAATAACAGGGAATAACGTCAATGAGACAAATACCCTCTTGCCTATTACGGCAATTTTCATCAACGACCTTCTACTTCTAGATCTAAATTAGTATCTGACTAACTGAAGTAGGTTCTATGCAATTATTCAACCTTCCTATCTCTAATTTTCCAGGATTGATTACTGAATGGCAAAACACAGTTGGAGCATTATGCAGGCTTGAATCCCAATGGGGGATAAATATTGTCAACTGCATTTCTAAATCCCCATAGAGTGGTTTGCGCAATAAACGACCGGTTATAGTTTTTTCCATCCTCGAGTCCATGTATCCAAACCACATAACTGCTTACCTATTTCCAAACCTGACGTGAACTGGTAACCAGAAAAGCGGCTGTGGTCCGCCATATGATTAAGCGCTCTCTTATTGGCTTTCTACTCTCTTGAAATAAATATAAAAACGCAATATCCTACTTTTTCTTATACTTACATCAGATGAGAATTCAACTCCCCTTCCTCTTTTTGTGTTTCTTCTTTTTGGTTTTGGGGCAGTGTATGAAGTCATTTGCACGTCGTCATCTGAATCTGATATTTTTGTGATGTTACTTTTGATGATACTTTGGTTACGCTGGGATGATGCATTGAAAGCTAAAAATTTGAAAATATACCACCTCTTAGAAGTTTTTCGAGGGTCAAAGTAAAAAGTTTTTTTTGTGGTTACGGAAAAGTTAACGTTTTTCAACCAGAAAGGAGTTTGATTGTTTTAGTAGAGGTAATTTTACTTTGCACTTGCGTAAAAAAATTACTAATATTCTATACCTATTGTAGTAAGCCAGAGTACGAATTTTAAGAACAACTAGCTCACGTCTATTAAAATTGGAAAGAGTTTTCATGAGTCATGGGGAAATGAGGAGTTTTAAATTATGCATAGGGAGGGATGTATCAAAAAAGGTTAGAGATCACATAGCAAACGTTTTTGGTTATGCTGAATAAAGAATCTTGACCAAGTCATATATACCAGGCCAGGGCTACTCAAATGGCGGACCGCGGACCTTTCGACCATTCAATTCGGACCGCCGCGTCTGCTTGTTTATTTTGGCAGCATAAGCATCATTTTATAGTTTTAGACGATTTTGATACTATTCACAGTTTGCGGTACTGATATATACTATCAAATACAAGTCTCCATCGAGAGTTACGCTTGAAAATTGATATTCATATTGCAAAGTTTATTCAATTTTTTTCCGGATCAGTCACATTTTCATATTTTGTCAGGGGGCAGCTACTGACTCCAGCTTCCAATTCCCTAGTGAAATGAAATTTCGACAAGACTTCTGCTCCCATCCGTAGGAAAACATGAGATTTGTCTACAGATATTTTGGCATTTAAAAACATTATTTAATTGCCTGTCAAGAATGTTTAGTAATTCTAATACTTCACCTAATTTCTATGACATAAAGGAGTTTGAAAATAGGACTCTGTCTTTGAGTATTACTCGACAGCCCCAGTGAATATGGCATAGTAAATCAATATCCATCTCTAGTCACCACAGGTGGTGCAACTTTACAAGAAAACAAATCATGTGCATAAAAACTATTTAGGTATACCATCCATGATATTTCCAGTTTTACGAGGAAGAGGTGTTGATTCCACAACAGGGATCGCTGCCTTTAAACCCCTCGTACTTCTCGATCCTCGACCTCTGCCTCTAGTTGACCCTCTGGATCCTCTGCCACCACGACCACCCCTATAATATGTATGATAAAAACAAATTCAAAACTTGAATTTTTAATTGTATTGAACAAATAATATATCAGTTGGACTGGCAATCTGTCTTATAGACTTTTCTTCTCCTGGGATAAATATAAAAATCTGCTTCCATCCTAAATATCATCATAAAAGTAGTATCATAATGAAGTAATTAACTGATCGCATTAGCAGTGGTAGTCTTCGTCTACAATGTATTACAACAAATAGATTTACAGGTTAAAGATCTTTAGGCGAACTGCATATCCGTCATCTCAGTCAGGCTACCCAAGTAACCACCATAACTGCACCAGGGAGGTTAGAAATACTTTTAAGATTTTTGTCTCTTTCAGATTATTCATTTTTTCTTCTGGTAATGAACTGGGATCAAGTTAGATTCAAAAGAGAGTATATTTCAACGAGATAATTATAGCAATTGCTTTGCTTCTTGACATCAAGCTGCCAGTAACAGTTGCCAACTGTCAGCTCAGTGTCGATGAAAACGTTCAACTCAACTGACAAACACTTTAACCATGGGTTCATAATATCATAGAAATGCCTGCACACCATGACACGTACCTTTTACCTCTTGTACTGGTTGTGGTTTGTACTTCACTGTCAGAAATCACCATTTCATCGTCTGAATCAATGTTAGGAGTAGCGACACCACGTGCTGATCTTTCTAGTTTTACTCGAGCAAGTATAGCCTTGAAGAATATGTGAAATTATAACTGTAGGCCAAATCAGTATTAGGTAGAAGTCACCAACTTCAGACATCTAGCTGGGCCACATGAAAAAATTTAGTTTAGCTGGTGGCTGGGAAGTGCCAGGCAAACACTATGAGGGATTATTACATCACAACATAATGTTGTAAACAAGTGATATCGCTTAGCCTTACAGTAATGAAGGCACCGAGCAAAATGACAAAATATTTATCGCAGCGGTGAGAGCCATAAAACAATATGCTTTTTACCCGTATGAGCGCCTTATTAACAATAAACTGTCAGATTAGAATTTATGTTTGATGGGGAAAAATGTGAGTGTTGACAAGAGCCACATTAAATGGCTTGGCAGGCTGGGTTGTGGCCCGCAGACCTGTTGTGGCCCGGCTGTTGCACACCCCTGAATTGGATGAATCAAGTCATTTGTAATTTTTGATAACTAGTGTAACTCGAGTAAATGAGCCTCCCCAACACTAGCCATGATAAAGATTGCAAACAAGGTTTGGGTTCGGAATACAAGAAGTTAAATATTCATTAAAAAGAAAGGTTTTCAGTCTCAAATGACTCGGGGTGTTTCAAAAAAATTTCAAAACAGACTTTGAGCATGAGAAATCTCTATATTAAAAAACATCATACAAGATATTTATGTAATTTAGGACAATTTGCTCAAAGCAAGTTCACATGCACTCATTCAGGATTAAATGAGACAAACTCCTTATGTGAGCAAATTATCAGCGATTGCTGAAGCCCCAAAAGCTGCTGAAATCATATAGAATGACATGGCAGTACATTATGTATACAGGTTGACACAAGATTAGGAAAGTTCAGATTTACCCGAACATCTTCCTGGCTTTGAAATTCATCATCTCCCCCACCGACGTTAGAAGCATTATTGCTTGCAGCCATACTTGCCGACTTTTTCTCTTCCTTATACCTTGCGATCTCTTCAACTATGTGATCCTGCTCCATTGTTAGTAAATTATGCTGATGAAATTGAAAAGAAAATTGAAATATCATGAAGGGTTCACTGCAGAAAACAAATTAGAGTTGTAACCAAACTACGGTTGATTAGAGCAACAGGTTCCTAACTACTGCCCCTTGACTGCTGTATATATAGTCGTTTGTTTCTTGATACATTATCCTTGCAGCCAGAGCATACAGATCCGCTAACACATTGGTTCTCAAAGTGGGGTCTGTGATCGCTTAGGGGTCCGTGAAGCGGTTTTAGGGGGCTTGCAAAGCAACTTTGACTGTGACACAGAAGCACTGCTAAGATGGTTTTCAAAAGGGAACGTGCTGAAAAAAGTTTTAGTATTTGATTGGGGAAAAAATGCATGGTTTTCTGCAAGAAGTAAAACATGAATTGCACAAAAAATTCCCCCAATGCTTGTTTTCTGATGTGCCTGTTTCTGATATGTCACTCGATATTAAAATTTTGAAACAGAATGGTACACAGTCCCAAACTGAACTCAAAATAGATAAACTGGTAGTAGCTAAGCAATTGCACCAATTGAACTGTATAATGACATGCAATGAATAATGCTCGATATAAAGCGTTGCTATTTGATTTCAATGTTTTAGCGGAACGTGACTCATCAGAAAAATTTTGAAGGACCGCTATGCAAAATTTTTCAAAATATTTGAGAACCATTGCAATAATATACAGGTAGAGAGAAAGGAGGAGAAAATAACATGCTACTCCAATCAAACATATTATAACTAAATCAATAATAAATTTTATGTATGCATGTCACAGGGTAATGGTCTCAGGTTTAAACTAAATGCCGACAATTCCACTCAGGGTTCAATAAATTGGGTAGGCAATGCCGAGTAATTAGAACTCTGTAATACCGAGTAATAATATATATTCAATATTGTGTCTAAAATCTGCCTGACCTGTTTCAAATGTGTTGACACTTTATCGAGTTGATGTTCACATAAATCATATATTGCATCTTTTTCTTTCTTTTCAACATATTCACGAACTGCCATACTCATTCCACGTGCAGACAATAAAGACATTTGATATTTCTAGAAAAGAAAACAAGTAGTATTTTTTCAATTGTATGAGTTTCGCGGTAACTACCTTAGTCATAGTAGCTTGATCTATAGATGTCAAGTATAGTTATGTTTGACTGTGCTCTATTCTTTATTGAGGAATAGGCCAGCACAATGTTGAAAGCATAGACTGGATGCAAGACATTTTTCATTCATATATCAATTAGCGTTTGTTTAGTTTGCTGATGTAAAATTTCTCTAATGATAAATTGGAATAATCCAATTGATGGGTACAGTTATTGAATCACTTCTTTCCCACCTGAGCATCTAACACAGGGATGGGCAAGGTTTTTAGAACACGGGGCCCAAAATTTTGCCCACCTAGACAGTCTGGCGGGCCATGTAAGTATGACGTAAGGATTTACATTTTATAAACAATATTCACAGTATTACAAAAGTAAAAGTAGAAAACATCAAGCCTCGTCCCAAAACTGAAATTAATCACAATTTCAATTAATTCCTTGAGCTATTTTTCAGCTAAAACATCAAAATTTGGTTTTAATTTGGTTGTGGCAGCATCATGCGGGCCAGATTGAATTACGTAACGGTCTGGACTTAGCTCGTCGGCCGTAGTTTGCCCATGCCAGATTTAACAGGTAAAATTGACTCAGAACAATTTTCACATTTTGATGCATAATCCATCTACGCATACAGTCACAAACTCCTTATAACGTACAGTATTAGTTAATAAATATTCTTCCACAAGATCTTCAACTTTGACCTTTTCGACAACTTCATTTACAATTAAGTCATCAAGATCTGACATATCTTGCTTCTCTGAAAACATAAATGACAATTCTGTGTTACGTCAAACTTAAAAATATATTTCTTGTATAAAATTATATAAGTTTATGAATGGATGGACCAAGATATTTTACAAGTTCAATCCAATATTACCTGCATTCTAATCGCCGCGACTGTTTCGGGGGGAAATGGGAATTTTCGATTTTGAAACCCCCACCCCTTTCGAAAATCTTGGCTTGGCGCACCTGTCCTAACCTTTTTTTAAGCGACTCAAATTTTGTAAAAAATAAATTTAGTGAAATATTGCAACTCAAGAATATGCGTAAATACTCAACATCATTTAGTGCAACTATGACCACAAAATTAAATTACCAACATAAAAATAAAAAATCTTTTTTTCATAACATTTATTTCCCTATTATTTATTTCAACACTGTCATTTGCTTGCCATCAGCGATTTTGTTAAATCCTTGCGTGGCTTCACTAGAGCAGCACTTCAATGCCAAATAAACAATATCATGATTTACTGAAAAATAAGATCAATAACTTTATTTATCTTTTTTATAAAAACAAGCAATGAATCAACTCAAGGCAAGAGAGCCTGGTATGAGCCAAAGTTTATGTAGTAAACAATTTGGCTCTTCTTGCGATGGAAGCTGGCGAGCTGGCGCCTGGACAATGCATCAACTACTACTGCAGTCACAACTAGTCACTTAGTTGCTTTACCTCCTTTCACCATATTTCTTGTAGATTTTTTCAAAAAATGTACAATAGAATCTGGATTGGCGACATTTTCAGTAAAATTAGCACCAAGTCTGTATGGATTGAATGTCGGATAACCACCTGAGTAATCAACCTGGTCATAAATGAAAGGAAAAGATTTATATACTACAATATGTGCGATTTTTAGGGTTTTTACACAAAAAATGTACTGATAGTCACAGACAGGATTCGATCTGACAATAGCTTACCGAGTTACCGGTAAATGAAAAATTATAGGATTGTGCCATAAAATATAAAAAAAAAAATTAAAAACCAACTATAACATTTGAAGATTAGATCTATGATTTATTTGAATTAGATACTGAAAGACTATTAGTAGTATTCTTTTTTTGGAATATTTTCTTTTAAGATTACAGAATATACTAAATTTTTTCCTACATTATTTTACAACTTCACTGCAAATTTTAGTTTAATGTAAACTGAAGAAGATGATGAGCAGTCACAAAATGACGCCACCTGATAAAGGTTAATACTTTAAAATTAGGATATCATAAATTACAGGAAACTCCCGTAATGTGTGTACCAGGTTAGGCGATAATTCTATTCTGATTTTCCTTATTTAAGTTCTGTTACGAGTTCGAGGACTGTCTGTGTTAGCCAAGCATATACCCCCTACCCATAGGTTTCAGTACCTTCACACAACTTGATGTAGAGTAGGCAAACAAAATTAGTTACTTCCATATTGTTACACACACTTCTGGAGCGCCATTACAGAATATAAAGCTCCCGTAAAGCTATACAAAAACTCACACGAAGTCTTATTAAAGGCAACTTTGGCTGTTTTGGATGACCAGACAAGTCATCTTCAGCCTTGATCAAAATGCTTTCAACTCTTTCTTCACAATATGCCTGAATTTCCTCTTCCACCATTGGTTTAGTTGGATCAGATATACAAGATACATCTTTTAAAACTATGTCTTCAACATACATGTTGCGAACACTTCGCAATGGAATGTATTCTGGTTTCATATCCTTACCACGAATGTGTAGTAATGTAACATGCCTGGATTGGAAATTAAATAGTACTTTTTGAAAAAGATCTACCGTACTTAGAAATATGCAACAAAAAACACATTATACTTGAGATTCATCTAAACTTAAATTATCAAAATATTACTGTAGGTGGTGGAAAATTTATGATCAGATCCAGGATGAAAAATTTTGACCGGCCCCGAACGCTAGGCCTAGGTGGATGGAAATTTTGGCCAATTTGCTGAGGAAATCAAATTTTGACAACAAACACCTTTTTTCATAGATTGTTATGAATACTCAAATTTTTTCTTTGGGTTTCTGCAAATAATACTGTTATCATTGTTATTGTGGTGAAAAGTTAAAAAAAATTATGACTCCAATCTCCACAGACCTGGTATAAAAACTTGGTTGGCTTCGCATGTTAAATATTTTGGGATGTAAAGGACCTTGTTTAGAAGATATATAAAAAATTGAAAAAAAGTTTTATTTATTGCAATAACATATTAAAAAACTGTGGTCAGCAAACTGTACTTCTGAAGTATGCGTACCAAGATGGTGGACACTGGAACATAGTATGTATATCGGGTTAGGGTTACGCCAAAATTCTAGGTACAAATACTATGAGAGTCACTTGGCTAGTCCCCGAACTCGTAATAGAACTAAAATAAGGAAAATTGGAATAAAACTATGGCCTAACCCTAACCTGGTACACATACTTCGTTCGGGTGTCCGTCATTCTTGGTTTTCATACTTCAGGAACACCCATCAAACACCCCAAGAATAATCTTACTTTTGCTTACTCTCACCAGCTGTGAGTGAAGTTGCCACAGTGCTTCCAGGTTGAAGAACGAA